TCTGAGCCTGCAGGATCGCCTCTTTGGTACGCTTTCTGGGCCCTTTCGGACCCGACTTCTTGCGCTTCCTATCGTATGAGCAGCATAAGGACGTCGCCTGGCATTGCTCGCACGGCGAGTCTCCACTACATTTTATTTTTCTGATGGAACACGGGTCGCAGGCGAAGCCCATTCTGATGAACAAGTTGCAAGAGGTTGAGCGGGTTAAATAGAGTTCTTTCTGTCGTGATCAGACTTGAGCCAAGAGTTGCGACGACCCCACTTTGAGTGACCAATGAGATTAGACGCTCACTCATCCAATCATTATATCAATATCCATGGTTGCTCAACCGAGACTCAGAAATATCACTTGATCTTCCTATCCTGATCTGAAGACTACGTTTGGCTGATCAAAGAAGACATCGAGATCACTTATAAAATTCTCCTATATGCGCATCACGAGACACTCGGAATGGAGATGCCCAGCTCGCAGCGATGCATTTGCCGCTGTGTCTTAGCTGACATTGTGACGAAGACCCTTTCAGGGCGTGAGAGATGAGATGAAGGGCATTTGACAGGCTGCATAAAATGACCCCAGGCAGTTAGAGGGTAAGATGAACAAAAAGGTAACATTGTTTGTTTGACACTTCATGAGCCTCGTCAATGCTCTTTTCAATTCACTTCTATAGCCCATTCTATCTATGTAAGTTCAATCTACATCTACCCAAACCGTGGCCTCTCTTTTTGTTACCAATTCGCCTCCAACAGTCATCATTACCAGTACACCCAAGTCTGATGAAACAACTAACGAGTGTAGTATTCAACCCAATCTTGGGTAAATACCCAGTTCCTCCACACGTCTTACTCCTGGGGGCATGAGATGCCAAGCCTACAGCCCACGCGCACTCATCATGGGGAGGAAATACAATGACACCCACCAGGCTGCCACCAGACGAAAGCTTGTTTGGTCCCGCTCACGAGAGCGGCAGATGAGCATATGAGCTGAGACTATAGCCCCAGTCGCAATGGGTACCGCACAGCCGACAACCCCAAGTCCCCAGTAAAGTGGACAAAGCAGCGACCAGATCATAACAGCAACAGCTGTGATCCAGCGTGTTGGTGCATCGCCAAGAATAAGGGGGAAGGTCTGGCGGTCGATCAACTTGTCACCCTCCTGATCACGCAAGTCTTGAACCTGGATGGTAGTGAAGACAAGGGATGCGCACATGAGGAACCAGCCCAAGCCCTTGTTGGTGAACTCGAAGTTCTCATGTGAATTGGCCTGGATGGCGGTGACAGCTACCCGAAGAGTTGCTACACGGTTGGTAGTGATACCGCAGGCGTTCATTAGCGCGCGCTGCCACCAGCTCTTGTCACCCCAAGCACGCTCATTGTACAGCCAGGTGCAGAAGAGGTAAAAGGCAGTCTCCTGCCAAGCCCCTAGAGTGGTATAGCACAGAACAAGGAGGGAAGCAATTGAGACTAATTGCCATTTGTGTGTCAGCTCAGGGGAGATGCGGCCAGCCGGAATGGGCCGCCACGGCTTGTTGACGCCATCCTCAATGACGGACTGCGGCTGACGCTGATTTCCGAGATTGAAGCAGAGTGTCAAATGCCAAGTGAAGTAGAGAGCAACAAGAATGCCCTTACCCATATCAGTCCATTCAATGTCGGCATTACTGATGGTGCCAGGACCAGCCAGGATCCCTGCGATGGCGAACGTGGTATTGATGCTGGTGGAAGTGGGCATATCACTTTTGGTGAAGAGGCATAATGTGACGAAATGGTAAGCGAGCTTCTTCATGCGGTTCGGCGTTTCTGTCTCTGCATTGTATGCTACCTCAAGTCAGTCACATGTGGTAGTGGGTGCTGTTGGTTCAGGGGTCGTTACCAGACTGATGGGTCGCTTGCTTCTCCTGCATGCATTGCGACGAACTCTGTCGCATTGAAAAGGGCTCATTATAGCGCTTGGTAACAGTGACAGATCTGCTAGTCATTTTGGAGATGATAAGAGAGAAGATCGTTATAGAGGACAAGAGTAGATATGTTAAGAACTAGGATGAGATGAAAACAGTGAAATCTAAGTGAGAACCTTCGACTACTTATTGAATGGCTTCAACCGTATTTTCGTCATAGCTACGCCCGCCACCGCCCCAAGGTTTTGTTGGAAACGCGTACAAGCCCTGAAAAATTCAAATTCACCGAGGCTACGAGTTTCAGGCAGCAAACTAATAATGATCGGCCAAGTGAATTTTGGTACGAGAACTGTGATGAAATGCTGAGCTAGGCAAGGATGGAGGTGAGGGTCACCCAGCAAAGCTTACCCACCTGGTCGATGTAACATCTGCCGGATTAGCTTGACCCAAGCTTTTTTGAGGCTGTGGGTTCCGGGGTCCAACACGTTGGAGCCAGGTAGTAGTAAGAAGGGGGGATCTGCAATATGGAATTGCATCACGAAGGATGAGATGAATCATACTGGCTGAGGACTCCAAAGGCGGTGAGAAGTAACGTCGTATTGGAAGACTGTAGAAACTTGGAAGAAGATGTTTAACCGTCTTTTATCCTTGTTTTCATAAGGTTGCCATGGATGTACAAAGAAGACAGTCAAGAAAGAGGCAGTGCCTGCACGTTGTCTTGAGAAAGTTTTACTTGATCAATGGTCTCTTATAATAGACTTTCCCAAGACTAGCATTGGAACTCGGCACTTGATTTCTCATGAAGATCTAAATTGAGATGCAAACATCAATGTTGTGTAATGTGTTAATTTACAATGCTGTCATAGAAGCCGTGAAGCAGCAGATGGAAGCAGCGGCGTATTATCTAATATTCTACCTGATGATGTAACTCTATCAATACTCTAAAAACGAGACCTGAGAATATCTATGAATCCCAGATTGGCCCAAAAGCTGGTACTCCCAAAGCCTGCAGGTCCAGGACCAGGTCGATCGTCAGCTTTGGATTAGAGATTACTACTACAGCCTCGCTTTCCGTCTTCTTGTACAGGTCCAGGACTGTAGGAAGTGTATTTGGTCGGCCCATAGTTGAAGTGTTGTGAATATGTGCATTATCTCCCATTCCAAGAATAATGGAAGCAATATTTGGCCCGTAGGTCTCTAGAGGGTCTCGGGTTGACCAGAATAGAGTTATCCTTGTTTGTTGTGCAAGAATGACCGGAAGGCATGGTGCAATTCCGGACCCAGTGGCAACAAGAACAATGCTGTTGAACATCGGGGCAATACGCAAGACACCGCAGGTTGGTGTACGGCGGACCCAAACCTCACGAGGTGGTTCGTTGACGACTTTCTTCGTCCAGTCCCCTGCGTTTGAAATAACTACAGAGAAACCATTCTCTTTTGGGTTGTTGACAGTTGCAAAGGCGTGCCACTCCAGCAAAGGTCGAGATGAGAGTCGAATGGTCGTTCCAGGTTGAGGATTGGTATAGTCGAAGTACATTCGAAGGGCATGTGAAGATAGTCGCTCAGAGACAACTTGAACTTTTCGACAGTTCAGCCAAGTTGATATGACACAACAGGTTGAGATAAACACGAGCCAAACTGGTGCACTTGAAAAGACGGCCGCGGCAGGCGAATCACCCGACTTCGTATTGATTGTTGCATCGAGAACGGTAAGACACCAGAGAAGAGCGAGAGAAGACCAGCCAGCCAGTCGATGAACAACTTCAAAAGCATTGTGGATCTTCGCACGTACTGAGGGGTAAGACATGACCAGCATTGAAATGAGAAGGCAGTCCAACATGTAGATGATAACAATGTAAACCCACATGGCGGCATCTCGGTCCTTGGTGTTATTGAAAAAGCTGGTTTTCTCGATGGACATCATGATAAACCAGAATGTGGCCGCCACTCCACAGCCGCTGTGAAGACCACCAAGATGGTAGATCTTGCCCATTCGCGACCTTAGCCAGAGTGGTGATGTTTTTGGAAATGCTGTGAAGACATAGTATAGACCGTTGACGACATGCTCTTCTCGAATAACAATACTGACGGCGAGATTTATCGCCGTTGCGAGGCCGCAGGTGTTTGGATTGGCATGGCCATCAAGAAACCATAGCCATAAGAAGATAATAACGCCAACAAGGTTGAGAGTAAAAACGAGTGTGAACAGAATTCGGTATTCTGAGGAAATAAATCTCAAGAAGCGAGTGAGTGACAGGCCAGCAGACCTTTCAAAGGCCTTCTTCTCGGAAGCAACCATGGCAATAACTTGGGGTCGGAAATGAATGAAAGTTCAAGGGCATACGGAAAGCAAATGCAAGTCCAATTAAGATGACATGCTGGTATGCTGTCAAACGCAGCCTTATCAGAGTCATATACCGGCTGTGAATGGGACTCTCGGAGTACCGGACGATTTACTCGAGGAGCCCGAGTGATTAGCCATCAGCCCACCAGCACGTAATAGTGTATGATTCTCCTATCTGCAAACTCTCCAAGGACAACCGAGATAGTGCTGTGCATTATCAGCCCGTTCACCTGAGCTGGGAGATCAGCCCAGGAACGGAAGAAACTGCCTGACCGTTGACGCCAACCTAGCACGTGCGTTGAGGAGATCCCCGGTGCCAGAGCTTTCCGGGAAAGTACCCCCTGCGGCGTAAGAAACGTGGAAGAGATTTGGATCATCTTTGACATACGAAGGGGCAGGGAAGGAATCCATCCGGAAATATGGATGTCTTGGGATATGGGGCTCTGCATCCTGAAAGATCTCGTCACATTAGTTGAGCTGCACTGATAGGGACATTGTTAAAGGTAGTGAAATCCATAATAGGATAACTAGTTATGCAAGTGAAACAGGCCCCGGTTGGTGAAGAGCTGTATTGGGGCATAGAACCTTGCGATGGGTGGCTGGCGGATTGAAACATGGGGGTTTTGCGAGCTGTGCATAGAATAAGGCATGGGAACATAGATATCGTTTAGATCATGTCCCACAATTTGTTTACCCTATTTACTACCATCTTTTTCTGGTATCATTAGAGTCATTGAGTCACTTCAAGTCACACAATGGTACTACCTGATGGTGATGACTTGCCAACAGCAGTACATCAGACAATCAGACACTATGCGATTGTGGGTCTGGAAAAGGGACAAGCGCTACACGCAGTGAAAAAATATGAATAACTATTGTTACATAGTGTATGCAGCCTAAAAAGACAGGATGAATAGTGCAAAGTTGCAAACTTGGATAGGAGACACTCACTAACGGAGTAGTATTCGTCGCGGGGACGTTGGATTAGGCGAATCCGAGGTTGCATCAGAGCAAACCCGGCACTTACCGTAGCATTACCAAGCACTGAGAGCCCAGATCACCCAACTACTGGAATCATTGACACTGAATAAATTAAAGAAACGAATTGAGCCCCTAAAACATGTCAGTCTAATCCCCGTGAGTCCAAATATCTGGTAGATTGGATCCAGGAAGTTAAAACAGTCTTGACCCTCATTTCTTAAATGCAAACATGAACTGTCTTTGACTTTACTAGTGTCTCTCCTTCTGCATCCTGGCTAGCCAGTTTCGGTCTCGCCGTTGAGGGAGCATCCAAGATAATGCCTGTTAAGGATGCAACATTGAGATTGGGTTTTGATTCTAAACGGCCCGCAACGATGGAAGACTCTCAACGGTCCCCGGGCATTAGTGGCTCCTTGTATGCCGATCACTGTGGGCTCAAGGACCGGGCCTTGGTGAGACATCGTTGACAGGGTATTAATCCCAGGGGCTCAATACAGCACAGGGCTAGGGGATGGCATCGAAACTGTGGGAAACCGCAGATCAGTAGAAACATGTGCAGAATATTTGACTGACAAGAGCTCTCACAAGTGAGACCTTTCCATGCCAATAGGTTGGACAGAACAATAGAGATTCCAGTCACTCATGACTTCTGAAAGACACACGACAGTAGGAAAGGATCGACACCAAGGTATTTGAAGATAAATCCCGGCAACGTTACTCAAAGTCGCGTGTGAAGTAATTTTGTTATACGAATGAACGTGCCTATCTAAATGTGACCCAAACACCGCACCGAGTTGGCGCAATAAACTTTATGTAATAAAACAACATCGAAAGTGTACAATACTATCTAAATGCTTCAAAGAGCTAGAGGGGCGTCTACGCCATCGAATGAACGTTGGTGGAGCTCATATTAGTGGCAGGATCCGGCCCCTTGCCAATGAGACTCCGCTCATCAAGCTCATAGTACTCCTTGTTATCTGTCTTGGAGCGAGCCCCACGGCTGCCACCCCAGCTTCCGGCACTCTTGTCAAGTGTGGAGTCTTTGTTTGTGCTGGAGAAGCTCATCTTGGAGGCAATGGTAGCCATGGCATTGGGCCAGAGATGCTTGAAGAGGTGACGGATGGCTGGGAGGCTTGCGCAAACCATGCCGAGTTCCGTTTCCCAGATAGACCAGATGGTGACTTCGACGTATTCCCCTGGCATTTGTGTTAGCGTTTTTGCGCTGGATCTCGATTCTGGTCACTTACAGGTTGGGTTAGTCGTCTTTCCCAAATTGATCAGGAACGGTAGACGGATGATACTAAACACGGTGACACTGTGATGTTTTAGCTTGCATTCAAGGCTCCGGGGTCATAGAAACTCACACAATGCCTAGACTGAACATAACGAAGAGCTGAATCTTCTGTCGGCCTTTGACCTGCAGCTTCCAAAGATGATTAATCGGCAAGACTAGGATGACGATATCACAAGCCATGTTGATTCCACCAAAAGCATAAGTCTGTGAGTTGAGATCGTTACAGTGGCCCTTGTGCTCGCCATCCCAGCTTGTCCAATTGAAGGAAGCAGGAAGACATTGCAGCGCAGTGGTGATCATGGTAGCGGCACCACACAAGCAAACAAAGATGCCGATAGACACGGTCAACTTCTTGAACTCGGAAGTAGTGAAAATACCACGGAGAAAGAAAAGAATCGAGATCTTGGTGCTATACAAGTGAACACTGTACATGATCTGATCAATCCAGAAGAGCTTTAGCAGTTCGTACAAGCGCTCGAATGGGGTGATATCCCAAATGTTGAGCCCAAAGCCAAGATCTGCGAGTCTGCAGGCGAGCCAGATGTACGGCACCGTAGCAAACTGTGACATCTTGTTAGCGAGAACATCTGTGAATTGAATTGGCAACATACTCCTGCTATGAGAATTGCATAGTCATCAGGACCAAGCTTTCCAAAGATCTTTAATTTGGAGTATATCCTCAGGATCACACAAATTTCGGCAAGGATACACGCAACAAGTGCGTTGAGCCTGAACTTCATCTGTTGACTTTTGACAGGAACACCGCAAGCCAGGCTCTGAACTCTCATCAATGCTGTAGTAAGGAAGTGGTCAGTGCTTATTCATTGCTATCATGACAGGTATCCTACTCAAAGAGTCCTTGACTGTGCAGTTCTTCAGTACGCAAGCCTGCGTCAAGCCTGCAAATGTCTGATCGGTACAGAGACATGTTGTGTTTGTCATTGAACACGGTGACTGCGGTATCGCTTGCTGCACACATTGTATCTGGTCTAGCTGTTAGTCAAAGTCGGATAGTGGGTGGTAGGCTGTCACTGACATCGCAGTCAGGGAGCTGAGCAGCTAGCTCAGCAAAGTTGGCCGCATTAACGAGCCCGACTAGGGCCGCTATGAAGAGAGAAAATGACAGGAGACGCATGGCTGTAGAGTCTGTGTTGAACGGAATCACGGTGCAGTATCAGAGCCAGCTCAGAAATCAACATAAAAGACACAAACCACAATAGATAAGACGTCTTTTATGTCTCTATCTGTATCTTAATACGCTGGAATATTACGATGGCCAAGCCCCTGAAGATTTTCAACTACCGATAATACTAGTAAATCCCCAATATCTGGTGTCGAGGGGTCAAGTGGATCACTTGAATTGCCACTGAAAAGCTTCGCCGTTGGATGTTGCATTCCGGCAAATATTTCTTTCTTTTGTTATTCGCAAGTTCGTAACAACCAACATACATAACCATAGAGTGTTACGCAACTCGCTCCGGAAGACATTAACCCTTCCAAAAAACGAGAAATGAGAGGCTAACAGGCGTTTGAAACCTCCGGCATAGAGAAACCAATATCCCGACACTATGGTACCGTAGCATCCAAGAACCAACGGCTGAAGATCAACATCTCTGAAAGTTCATGCATCCCTGTTTTAGCTTTGTTTTCTCTTTCTGCTTCAGAGATAGGGATTAGATGATTAGATGACAGGCGTTGGATGCTTGTTCCCTGGGTTTATAATCCCTGTCCTTTCCCGCTCCTACTGCTACGTCAGAAACCAACGGTTGAGAATGCAACGTAAAACCCTTGTTAGGCGCTGGGTACCTCATCCTTGAGTGATTAGCAAAGGGCCAAAGGCTATGGTCATCACTAACTAACTGCCGCTTAGCTCGGCATTGCTTCCCCGCCCGTTTGTCAGTCACTGTCGTGGAGATGAATCCTTGGCTAGAGTTCGCGAAGGAATTGCGAGCCCTGTAAGGACCAAACCCTTGGACTTGACTCAAGCACCTGCAGGTTATCTTTCTTTGGCCGGGGATTGCCCGTCGTGCTCAATTGTGCACAACCTTACGCGGAAATGCAACTCAATAGAGCTTTGGGTCATCCCAACTCTGGATGTACCCACTCAACACAGAGAGATTCGCGACGATCTTTTGCGGTCTAGGGATGAAGTTTTTGACAGAGAGATTTCAAGGCTCGTAAGGCCCTGCGATGCAAGGTGATTAGAGGGCTTCGGTCCACCGGAACTTTGACAAACACATCCGCGTCATCAAATTTGCAGGATCTTTCAGAGCTATGACCTTGTTTCTGTCGATCTGTACTTCAAAACGCCAAGTTTGACCAAGGTGAAGTACGAGTTGGTAAATAGCTTGGGGAGTGCTTACCCCTGTCTGTCAAGTTAGCCAGCCACAGCTGTTGGTGTTTCGAACTCATCTCGCTCCATTGGACGATCAACTCAGGAGAAGCTTTCGGTCTTCCCACCAGCTTGGTAGCATCCTATTGTGATGAGCAATGCAACACCCCTTAGCACTCCGGAAGGACGGCCTCTTCAATAGTGCGAAGATCAAATCTTTCGATACATCTGGTATATAAACATAACTTCAGCCTTCTAGGCTATGACAAATGAGCCAACTCTCATTCGCAGTCTCTCTTTAATCCCGACTTCGTCCATTCCTTTTGAAGATCGTTCGCTCGTTTTACTCTAATTGTCTTTGCTGAAGTTGATAATATGAAGCCTTTCACTCTTGCGACTCTGGCTACGGCCTTGCTTTCTAACCAAGCCACCGCTCTTCCTAAACTTAATGCCGATACGCCTATTCCCCTGAATGCTTTCAAGTTCGGCGCTCGCGATGCCAAGAATCCTCACCTTGGTGTTGATCCTGAGCTGATTCGCAAGTTTGCCTCTCAGGCCCCTCCCAACCTGGGCAAGAGAGTTGTGGACTTCGACCCCAAGGAGCAGCTCGTTGATGGTTAGTCTTTGAATTAGAAGATCTCAGTCTTCCGGCTAACAATTCATTAGTTCACGGCAAGCACGAGTTCAACCCACCCGACTTTGAGGCTGGTGATGTTCGAGGACTTTGCCCAGGCTTAAACACTCTTGCCAACCATGGCTACTTGCCTCACAACGTAAGGACTCATGCTTACCCTTCAACCTTCAAGTCACTTATTATTCGATAGGGCGTTGCCACATTCACTCAGTACGTCACTGCTGTTGGTAAGGTTTGGGGAATGGCGCCCGACATGTCAGCCCTCCTCACCACCTTGGGTGTTGTTCTTGGCGGCAACCTTGTCGCTGTCTCTCAAGGTGGCTGGTCCAAGTACATGAACAACAACCTTCTCGGACTCTTCGGAACTCCCCGTGGTCTTAGCGGTTCTCACCCCTTCTTTGAGGTCGACGGCAGCCCTACTCGCGGTGATCTCTACGACCCCATTGGCGACAACAATGACATGAACATGACTTACTTCATGGAGCTCTACAACCTGCAGAAGGACGCCGAGAACCCCAACTACAGCATTGACGTTCTGTACGAGCACAACAAGAACCGCTGGCACCAGACCATTGCTACCAACCCCTATGCTTGGTTCGGCCCTGCTAGCGGCTGGCTCGTTCGTGCTAGCCCTTACTCTTTTACTGCCCGTCTCGCTGCCAACCGCTCTGCTGAGCACCCAGACGATGGTATCCTCGACAAGGAGATGCTCAAGGCCTTCTTCTCTGTTTACGGACCTGAGGACAACATGACCTACGTCATTGGCCACGAGCGTATTCCCGAGAATTTCTATCGCCGCCGCTACACCGACTATGGCATTGCTGCTAACGCCCTTGACATTGTCACTCACAGTCACCCTGAGGTTCTCAGGTAAGTCACCCCATGATTCGGTATCATTGAGCTCCCAATAACACTTAGCAGCATCGGTGGTAACACCAACGGCGTCAACACCTTTGTCGGAATCAACTTTGACGACCTTGCTGGCGGAGTGCTCAACGGAAAGAACCTTCTCCAGGGTAACAACCTTGTCTGCTTTGCTCTAAACGCTATCAAGACCGTCTCTCCAAACGCTCTGTCATCTCTTTTCGCCACCCTGTCCTCTGTAACGGATGTCCTCTTCGCTGCTCTTGAGCCCATTATGGGCGCTATGGATTGCCCTGTGTATAAGGACTTGAGTGTTAACGGAACAAACTGGTTTGACTACAACAAGAAGATGTACCCTGGTTTCAAGAAGGCTGGTGGCGGCTGGTAAATCTGTGATGGTAGATCTGTAGCAACTGCATGTATTGACTTCGGTTAAAAGAGTTTGCCTCTGTATATTATTTGATAAAGCACATAATATAATCGATAGCTTTCGGGCAATCAGTCCGTCTTCTGAGAGCCTCCTTGCACTTGCTAGCCCTTTCAACATGGACTACATATCTATTTGTATGAACACGAACTGATGTGCCCATCAAAGCTTTGACACTTATTCATGGAAAAGTCCAAGTAGCACATGGAAAGCCCTTCGTTTGCTTCGGATATCCTGTACAACTTGTATGCAGTACAAATTGCCAACCAAGGCCTGGCGCTCACAGCCTTTCCCGAACTTCACTAAGCACCTTTACCAGTCCTGGGTGAAGCTGGTCAACCGATGTGCACCCAAGCAGTCGCATATTCCTTTCCAACTCATCTTTGTAGATGCGAATAGCTTTCTCGAGTCCTTTCTGTCCATAGGCAGCCATAGCATAAAGAAACGGGCGACCGATTCCAACGCCGCGAGCACCCAAGCACAAAGCCTTCAGGACATCTGACCCACGACGAACGCCGCCGTCAATATACACTTCAATTTTGCCATGAAGTCCAAGTTCCCTCAAGATAGGCATAACCTCCGCGAGAACCTCAATTGGTGCTTCAGAGTAATCCAGCTGACGCCCGCCATGGTTAGAGAGAATCACAGCTTGGACACCGTATTCTGCTGCCATAATGACGTCTTCAACTCGTTGCATGCCTTTGAGGACAATCGGCATGTTGGTAATGCTTTGAAACCAGGTGATATCATCCCAGTTTAGAGTTGCGTTCATGATGAGAGACGGATCCAGCTCCGTTGCTGGTGCATCTTCGAACTCGTCCTCTTCAGACTCGCTCTGCTGCGAACGCAAGACCTTTTCGCGACTTCCGAGGTGCGGATTATCGACAGTGATGCACAAAGCTTTACAGCCTCGTGCCTCGGCGGCTTCAACAGCCTTTCGTGTCACGTTTCGATCCTTTTTGACATATATCTGGTACCATTGGGTGCGATCAGGTTCCCTAACATTGGTGATGTCGTCGAGAGAACAAGATGAGTACAGTGGTATCATTTGGATGATATCATGCTTGTTGCTCGCCCGCGCCAGCGTAACTTCGCCGTCTGGGTCTCCAAGCTTCGCGTGTGCGGTAGCTGTTATGTAGATTGGAGCGGATGTATGTGCTCCAAGCATAGTGGTAGAAATATCCACATGCTCAACATTGACAAGAACCTTTGGTCGAAACCGAATGCGTTGGAATGCAGAGTTGTTCTCTTTGATGGCCTGCTTGTTATAAGTCTCATGCTAAGAATGACTCGAGCGAAGTGTCAACCTACAAACTCGTCCTCGGCTCCAGTGGAATAGTAGTTCCAAGACGATTTCTTCATTGTTTGTTGTGCTACAGACTCAAAGTCTGATATGTTGACACATTGTGATAGTTTCGGCTTGTTTATCAGAGCCCCTTGACTTTGTTCTTGACCTTTGGCCTGGGTCGTTCCATTTGTGGACATGCCTGCTACTCTGGTGTCGATATTGCCCAAGTGCTTGGATGGCTCAAGCCACTTATCGAGAACATCATTCGAGTGAATCAGATCAAAGTCTGCAGTAGAGTCTTTGCCCTGGAATAGTTAGTATAGAAGCTTTTGAAGAGAAGTCAACACATACCGCATTTTTCAGTATCACCTTCTTTCCGCCAGGGTGATCTAACGAAGCGGTCAGCATGAGTGCAGGTATACGGGTGCTGGAAGTCTTGTATACTTGGGAGAAAATCTGTAAGATCGTAGACCTTGTTCTGTATACTCATTAGTGAGTGCAGTGGTGATTGAGCGATTTACTTGCATGAATGATGAGCCAACAGGAGTTGGCGTTATTGTGTTTGGAAACCTCTGCGGGATGCAATAGCATGATGTCGTCGCCGAAATTTTCTGATCATTCACAAACTGATAATTTTCTTAGTTTTGCCATGCGACTTGTTCGATAATAAAATTGTCAATGTTGACCCATAATCCTCATCATGTGCGAGTGGAGCCAAGTGGTGCAATCAGTGGACAGGCGATACCGAAGTCTTCACGCTGTGAAACGGAAGACAAAGACGATAAGAGACCAAACGCAAAGAAAATGTTTTGATTCCAAGTTTGAATGAATTAACTTTCTGAGGAAAATTGAATACTTTAACGATGGAGAACTCAACAATGCGCTGATATTAGTTCTTGCATCCAATGATGCGTAAATCACTACCCGAGCCCTGAGGTCGACATCCTTTCCCGTATCTATGTTTCCTCCATCAGGATCCGTATTTAAGAAAGAGCCTGACAACGGTTAGTGTCCAAGGCCTTAGAACTGGATAAGGAATCTTTGGGAATATGAGATACGACGGTCAGGTTGGCAATGGTTGAGAGCCTGAGGACTACATTGTCACCGTGCCTTGCCAAGATATGTGATGAGAGTCATGGATGCAGAAATTGTTTGGACGCCTCACTTAACGTGGTCTGTTAGTCCGAAAAGCCTAAATGTAAGCTTCTCTTGTTGCTGCCAGCTGGCAATGTGGAGATTAGGCCAAACCGCCAAGCTCGCGTCTCATGGAAGCGCTAGAGTAATAAAACGGTAACCTCAACTTTAGCGCTCAGCTGAACGCTCCTGACAGCTCCTTTTAAAAGTGTTCAGGTCCTTCAAAAAGTTGCTATTACCGGAACACTTTTTAACTAACTTTCATTGATCTTCCTCTCTTCCAAACCAGCCATACCGTCGCATCAAGTTGGTTCTTGAGCCAATCTCAAAAGTGGCTTCAAATCCGGGAAAGGATGGCAAATGCGAAAGGCGGTTGGATATTGACATGCGCGTATCACTTCACTGTACAAATAATGCCTACGTGATCTCAAAACGATATTGCTCATAAAGGAGTAAGGTCTTGAAGTTTGCACATATCAACCTCAATAAAGCACATCACCTTCTCTTTCGACAATCTTTAGTGCTTGGCTGTCTTTGTGGAGCGACACTACATCTTTTTGGAAGAACCTTTGAACTGGCGCGGCGTGGCCGGAAGTTTGTCTACACTACACGCTGTTTTCCCTGATGATCCTTTCCGTTGGATTAAATTGATTCTGGACTCAATCTCATTTATGGCTGCCAGGCCACGGCCACAACGGGAAGAAGAAAGGTATATTGGCCTAAGGACATCAATTCACTATACGGATAGAACCTAAAGCTCTGTCAACCGCCTTCACTTCTCTTTTCTGCCACTCCATATAATAAAGGCATCTAGATAAAGGGACGGAAATATATCTTTTAATCGATGCTCCCTTTATTCGGACAAAGAAATGTCATTTTCTCTTCACTTAGATCTGTCTGAGCTAATCTTATCGATATGATTAGTGATTGATCTTTTCTGAGTTTATCTTGGACCTCGGAAGATAGCGATAGCAAAAGTCCCTCGATCTCCCCAGACTAACCCCATGGAGCGTCCGCGCCCACTAAATGGGGCGATTATGGTCTGCATGAGACACTAGCAACGTTTGATCAACGATCTACCTATCGTGTCCACCATAAGAACGGTTACACGGCATCTGTGTTGCGACATGACTGCGTTAAATCCCTCGTGGAAAACTCAATCAGCCTCTTACTCCAACATCTTTTTGTCCCTGACAAGTAATCTCGAAAGATGGACTCACGAGCAGATCCCGCGACAACAGAGACCAGAGCGTCTAAGGACCTGCATGATGAGCCTGCTAAGCAAGATGTCAGCGCAGGTATTGTAGTTCCTGCGCTGGCAGAGGGTGAAATGCCGGAGACAACCAAGAAGGAGATCTGGTCGTGGTACGCGTACTACATTGGATCAAATGGACTCGCCTTGTTCAATTTTGGACCGACTGCTTTTCAGAACCTACTCTCCCAGGCGGCGCCCAAAGATACAGGGCTTTTGCCGTTTGCCGGTCGCGCTCGAGACGTCAACAGCATTGTCCTTCTTGCCAATGGCATATCCTTCGCTTTGCAAGCGGTCCTCTTCCTCATCATTGGAGCTTACGCAGACTTTGGAACTGGACGACGATGGATTCTTTTTGTCTGGTCAATTATCGCCTACGGTATTGGCTTTGGCTGGCTGGGCGTCCATGATCCCAGCAAGTGGCAAACCGCTACAGGCCTTTACATCGTCGGTTTAATCGCATACCAAATGACGCTCACGTACTGGACAGCGGCATTCCCCTCTCTTGCCAGAAATACTCCACAGCTGAAAGAAGCTGCCCTTCAGTTCGAGGCTGGAGAAATCACCCAATCCGAGATGGATCGCAAAGATGAGATGGAGAGGAGTAGGCTCAGCAACGTTGCCTTCTACATCCAATCTGTCGGCGAAGTGGTCATTCTAGCCATCATAGTGGGCATCATGTTTGGTGTCAAAGTCGACAAGAGCGCCGAAAACAACAACTGGGGACTCTCGGTCTTGATTGCTTTCGCGACTGCTTGCTGGCTTGTCCTCTCGATTCCCTGGTTCTTATTGGAGAAGAAGCGTCCAGGAATGAAGGTCCCAGATCACTTGAACATGATTACCGTCGGATTCTGGCAACTTTGGGAAGCTCTCACTCAAATCTGGCACCTGAAGCAGAGCTTGATCTATCTCGTTGGATACTTCCTTCTGGGAGATTCTCTTAACACCACTGTCACGGTTATCGCCACCCTTCAGAACCAAGTCGTCAGCTACGAGACTCTCACTTTGACTTACCTCCTCATCGTTGGTATCGTCGCTCAAGCAGTGGGCATTGGTGCCTTTTGGCTCATCCAGAAGCATTTCAACCTCAGTGTCAAGGCCATGTTCAACGCCGTCATGGTATTCATCATCCTTCTAGACGGATGGGGTATGATTGGCAACTGGACCGATAAGTTCGGCTTCAAGAACGTCTGGGAAATCTGGCTATACCAGGCTTTCTATGGTCTATTTGTGTGTCCCTGGTATAGTTATTCGCAGATCATGATCAGCTCCGTCACACCTCGAGGACACGAATTCCTGTTCTTCTCCCTTTTCAACATTATCGGGAAATCATCCAGCTTTATCGGACCTTTCATCAGCAGTGCTATCATTGACGCTTCTCCCGGCGGCACCAACAACAGTGCTCCCTTCTACTTCTTGTTTGCGTTGAGCTTGGTCAGTGCTATTGGAATCTGGTCGTTTCTTGATCTTGAGAAGAGTGCGCGGGAACAGGAGGCGTTCATCATACAAGAGAAGATACGCATGGGTGAAGAGTCAGATGCAAGCAATATTGCGTAGATGTTGTTAGTCTTGTTCGTTGCAGCTATAGTAATTTCTATTGAGTCCTGGTGAAGATTATGCTTGAGTTCCTATGTTCGCATAGGGCAATAATGTCCCTGTTGGACTTCGAAATCGGCCAACACTGCTGGATCAGTTGCCGCAGCTAGGCGATCATCACCGCACAGCTTTTTGTAAGGGAAACTGTGTCTTGTAGCAGGTTCTAAGGCTCTTCCATGAGACCTTGCATCGCCTTCCTCAAGTGAATCGATCATCGAAACGCGAGACCTAGCCCGAAATCCAGCTGCCTCATTTAACCGCCCCTATCCATGAAAAGGCTAGAGTACTGAGGTGTAGTTCTCCTGTCGATGCCTCGTTTGCCTTTATTACATTACTATTGATGGCTTCCTGCAACATCAAAGTCGTGTTTCATATTATTAATAGTTGTTCAAAGTGTCTTCTATTCTTCGTTCATGTAAAGAAGGAGGATTATCTACTTCATGAACTGGGAACCAGCAAAATATCATCTACGTTAACCGCCTGTCCCGTCGCAATAGATCTGTTAGCCGCAATACCAGTAAGTATCGAAGCAGCCCCATCAATATGGCTCGCCGCTCGCATATACTCGTCCGATACAGGCGTCCCAAATAAATCATTTAGCAAGACAGTATCTCCACCCCCGTGAGCACCAACGCCATCTTCGACCTTTATCTCTCTTGGCTTCTCAAACAGAGGACGAAGCAGGATCTTGCGGCTCTCTAGAGATCCCTCATGGGCCTGATCACCACCAGAGTTGACGTAGCTATTCTCTACAACCTCAACTTCAAGACGTCCACCAGTTCCGTTGAAGCTGACACGGAAACCTTCCCAAGGTGCGTATGCTGTAAGAGAGTATGAAAGACTAGCTCCGTTGCGGTACTTGACGAGAACGTTCATGGTGTCTTCGATGCTAATCCCGTCACCAAAGACGCTCTGGTCGCGGTAGTAAGCGTCCTCATGCTCGGCATCCAGATACATAGCCTTCAACTGAGGATTCTGATCGAGGTGAAGGGCAAATGGGTCGGTTTTGGCGACTTCGCTGCCATGAGCGCGGGTGTAGAACTTGGTCTCGCCGCGCTGCTCCGCGTTCTCTCGGCCGTAAAAGGCAAGGTCTCCTGTAGCAAACACGGTTTGAGGCCTGGTTTGGAGCCAGAAGTTGACAAGATCGAAGTGATGCGTTGACTTGTGTACCAGCAGACCGCCGCTGTTACGCTTGTCCCTGTGCCAACGGCGGAAGTAGTCAGCTCCGTGGCTGGTGTTCAGCATCCATTCTATAGTCATGTTAGCTTCCATCTTCTTTGCCATATTATCGCCATCAACTCACCGAAGTGGACGCTTGTGACTTTCCCAATAGCTCCGGATCTCAGCAACTCGAAGACTTTCGTGTTGTGAGGCGCATATCGATAATTGAAAGTGACGCGAACTTTCTGTCCCGTTCTTTCTACTGCTGAGAAGATCTCTTTGCATCTTGGAGCGTCAATGGTCATCGGCTTCTCAGTGATGACGTTGCATCCCAGTTCAAGCGCCCGAACAATGTAGATGTTGTGTGTTCGATCCATAGTCGTAATGATGACTTCGTCGGGCTTGGACTCTTTGATCATCTGATCGAAGTTGCTGGCGAGATACGTCGAAACCTCGCCATGACCGAGTGACTTCAGCTTCGAGTTTGCATAGTTCATCCGAGTCTGGTTTGTGTCGCAAAGGGCCACGATACATGATGTTTTGCTGTATTCCGTTGCGATGGCTGAGTAGAAGAAGCTTGAGCGGCCGCCGGTGCCGACAACGGCATATCGCTTTCTTGTCGCTTGAGTTTCTGCCATGGTGAGTAAAGATATGCGAAGTGAGTCTCGAGACCCCCAAAGTGAAGAGGCGCGCGCGGTATTTATCAGAAACGGTCACGAATGGAGGACATGGTCGGTTTGGGGGAGGGGGAACGATACTCGGGGTCTCTTCCCCCGAATTGTGGGGCTGTTTGCGGGGGTCATCATCAAGTGACGGTGGTGGTATTTGAAGAACGCCCAATATCGCATAGTTCTGATTGACTAGACAATCCCTCTAACTCATGGGAGAATATGTAAGTTGACTATAGGAACATAGGGTCCGGGTTTGCCCAAGGTTCAGAGAATGCGGCTCCCTGATGACTGAGTGACGACATATGAGCGAGCCGCTTGACCTGTCCAGAAGCTTTGCGATCTAGTTCATGAGCTACTTGAAGTAGAAAGAATGGCTCTTTCGATGCTTTGGCATTCATCTGATCAAACTTGTTACGGATTCTTACGATCAAGCTCCAATCCGACATGACGGACGGTTGGTCGGGGAACTCAATGATGTTGACCAGCAAAACGATCAGTCCCGAAAGATTGCAGCATGCATGAAGCCTACTTTGTCAGTAATATGTTCTTGGCAATCAGGGCTCAACTCACCAGGTTGAGTACTCTGTCTCTCTCCCAAACGCCGACAATTCTAAGCCAAGCCTTGAATGCTTGACGCACTCGGACCATGCACCGGGCAATGGATTGATTGCTTCCTGGTTAATCCTACCATCGATGCCATCATCCCCAGTCCGAATCACAGCTGGAGAAAGGTAGCACCGTACCCTGTTGATCCACGTCTCATCAAAAGCAAACGTGCCATGGATTCTGTAGAGGCACTCGAGGTATCGATTGTACATGTTCATCACAAGGTGAACTGGCATTGTCAAGAAATCTTGGAAGAGTTTATCTGATCGGAGGAGTTCCTGCGGTACTGCGTTGCGCCAGTTGGAGAGCAATTGTTCAATACGAAGCTTGGTCTCTGCACGCTGCTCTTGGGACAAACGTTGAGCTGTTCTGCTGTAAAGGAAGTTGTGCACTTTGCCTTGGATTATGGCCAACTCAGACCGAGCACGTAAGTAGTTGAACCTAATCGCTCCTGTGTGAGACTCCAATATTCCGTGCTCGCTGTCTTCATGATCTTCCGGAAGCTCGAGGTCTGTTTCGGCATCGAATTGGGTGTAGGGCGCTTTGGCGCGAAGGGCAAGGTCCTGTCCTCATGGGTTAGTTGCTGCACACAACCAGGGGCCAGAGTCATACCTTGTCCAGGATGTAGGCTATCCAGAAGACTCGACGACGTTGCGTTGATTCATTGGGATCGTCAGTGGCTCTTGTGGAAGGTAGTCCCATACTTTGAGCGAGACGGATGGCACTTCCGATGAGTACTATTGCGAGCTGTGGATTTGTTGTTCCTTGGAATAGTATGACCATGCCAAGTAGAACCTGTAGACCTAGAAGATCACCGCTCCATGCCATCAATTCGGTTGTGACGGCCTGAACATTAGTTATGCACCGAGCTAGCTTTGGCTCCTCAATGGGCACATCATCTGTGATGCGGTAAGTGATAGCGAGGACAAGGTTGATAGCAGCCCAAGGGATCAACTCCTTTTTGTGATTCTCAGAATACCAGTCAACCGTCATCTGCATGAAAGACCTCTTGTCAAACAGCGGCATGTAACGGCCATAGTTGTCGAAGTATCTTTCCAGTACGCCCATGACTTCTTGAAGTGGTGGCAGCTCGAGCTTCCCTGTTTGAGCCATGATGGCTCCCGTTGGAAATTGCGGTGAAATACCCAGGCAAGGCAATGTCGTGGCTTCGTTCCACATGTCTGAGGCTTTGTACACGCGGATCTCGGGGAAGTTCTGGAAGTTCAAAGCTGTTGCATCGTGAGGTAAACTGTGCGACGGTTTCTCAGCGGCAATTTGGTCCAGTCTTGCTTCGATGTGAGCCAAGCGTGACTCAATCGTGTCATCCCTTATGAATGTCAGTATGCTTATACGATGAGCTCAAAGAGCGTGTGCGTACCTGGAGGGAGTTGAAGATGAGTTGGATGGGCTTGTTTCACTGGCGTTCACTCTTCTTCTGTTTGTAGTAGCCGGACTTGTGACTTCGGTGATGCTGCAATCGACCCCATAAAGCTTGCAGTTTGAACAGGTTGGCTTGGACAAGTCACATTTGATCTTTCTCGACACGCAAAGATCGCAGGCTTCGACTTGTCAGCTCTGAGCTACTGGAACAATGCCGACCTCTGTGTCTCGTACCTTTGCGCCTCCGCGCATGACTCGCAACCTTCATGATCGATTATGGGCGATTGAAGACGTGCGTTACGGTCGAGTCGGAAATTGGGCTTGCTTGAATACGTCACTAACGGCAGCTGTTAGTAAGCTTGAGCTACCTGGGTGCTCCTCTCTCAGGTTGGTGGCTTTTCAGCTTGTCGACTGTGACCAACTCCAACCAAAACCGAACATAATCATTACCAATACCGATCGTGACACAATTGGTGTTGATTGAAGTAAATACGCAGCAAAAGCAAGGGTTTCAGATTTGTGCATCTAATTGCCAGGCCACTTGTTGAAAGTTTGCCACAGCGCATCGAGTCGGCACTATCAAAAACAGCTAGCGTCTGTTACCCACGGAACTCCGTGGGCGAGCTCTTGATGAACCGCCATCTGCCGCGCGCCTATCGTCGCTTCTCAATGCATTCTATGCCTTCTCATGCAATCAAGGTACGATCTGGAGATTATAGGTCTTCGTCATGAGGTCCACCGTAGGCTGACAAATTAAGATGGTCGCTCTCCCCGTCAAAGCAACCGTGCTGCTTCGCGGATACTTACTCAGGCAAACCTTTAGAGATGGACAGCAACGACTTCTAGGGAGCCTTTGTAATGTGAAGAGTTTTTTTTACAAACGCCAACCTCCGCGGTTAAGCGTTCTGCTGTAGTCAATAACACGGCCAAGAAGCACTTCCTGAGATGATATATAATTTGAAGAAGCGGCCGTTGTTGCTTCTCGCTACCAAGCTTCACAATATCGTCACCTCTCCTTGTTATAATCAACATCAACACAACCTTACACCTTAAGCCATGGCTACTTCTTTATTCCCTCGACGTCCTTCTTCAGACTCCTATGATGTCGCCATCATAGGCGGCGCAACAAGCGGCTCAGCAATCGCCTGGTTTCTCGTGTCGAACCCCGATTTCAACGGCAAAGTTCTCGTTGTCGAGAAAGACCCTTCTCTTGCCTACTCTGCAACTCAAGCCAGCAATAACTGTATGCGTCAGCAATTTGCTACCGAGATTAATGTCAAGATTGCTCAGTATGCTGCCGAATTTGTCAAAGACTTCCGCAAGAACCTGAAATGTGAGGATGGCGACGGCATTCCGGATATTCCTATCCGCAACTTCGGTTATCTGTATCTCGCGGATACTCCTGAGTTTGCTGCCGTTCTTGAGGAAGATCAAAAGCTTCAGGCCGCATGCGGTGCTGGGACTAAGATGCTGTCGGCTGATGAGATAGCTTCCAAATACCCTTTCTTTGCTTTGGATGACATCAAGGCGGGCAGTCTCAACACTGTTGATGAGGGTGCATTTGACGCTCTTGGCATGGTCCATAGCCTGCGCAAAAGAGCTCAACAGCTTGGGGTCGACTACATCAACAATGAAGTTGTTGGAATGACTCGTGTCGGCAACAAAGTAACTTCCGTTACTCTCAAGACTGGAGAGAGCATCAGCGTTGGTAATATCGTCAACGCTACAGGAACCAGAGCTGCCGACGTCTCACGCCTTGCTGGCATACACCTTCCGATTGAGGCTCGCCGCAGGTACACGTACATCTTCTCCGTCGACGACCCTCTGTCTCAAGATCTTCCGCTTACCATTGATCCTACTGGTGTCCACATGCGATCATATGGAAAGAAAGACTACCTCATCGGCTGCCCGCCGATCGGCCCTGATGTCGCCGTCGATCCCGATGACTTCAGCTACGCCGAGGATGTATGGAACTTGAAGATGCTGCCTGTTCTTAAGAAGCGAGTTCCTCAGTTCTCCACGGCCAAGGTCACGCACTCGTGGATGGGTCATTACGAGTTCAACACGTTTGACCACAATGCTATCATTGGACCCCATACTGAAGTTTCTAATATGTTGTTCTGCGTGGGATTTTCTGGACATGGAAGTCAACAGGCTCCTGCTTGTGGACGAGGCGTTGCAGAGCTCATCACGTATGGAGAGTTTCGCACGTTGGACTTGTCGGCTTTAGGTTATGAGCGGATTGCTCGCAATGAGCCTCTGATGGAGCGAGCTGTCATTTAGATCTGTAGAATGGTTGATCATTAGAACTCTTCATAATGCATTGTTTGCCCATTACCTTCTCCAGCTTGACATTCGTGAGATAGTTGCTACGTGAAAGTTAATAAGCCCCTTCAAGCCACAGAATAACAGGCGCAAACATAATTTCACGCCCGTTCACCAGTGTCTTTGTGAGATAACCTCCCCAGCGGTCATATACATAGCTGTCTGACCCTTTTTCCGCATGAACCAGAGCTTCACAGGCGTCCCATCAAAGACTTGCCAACAGACAACATAATGTTTTCAGCTATTGACATACGGGATATAGGCTATCACCGGTCCGCGGAATTCCCTGGTGTTCTAGACTTGATCCAGAATAAGGCAAGCCAATGTCGTCATTTGTGTTTGCGACAATAGCCGTGAAGTGACACGAGGTACGATAATAGCCGCAGCGTGTTTGTCATCAGATTTCTTTCAGGGCGTCGGGGACACTTTCCAGTATAGGCGACCCTGGGATACAGAGGGTGCCCCGCTAAACTGCACCTTCAACATGGCGCGAGAATAGCCGTTTGTTGCAAGAGCTGCTTATGAAGCAATCCAATTGCGATAAAACTTCAAATTTCACATGTTCAACATTTTCGCACGCAGTTAAATATGCAAACTGCCCCTCTTCAAAGAGAAAAATAGCAAACATTCATCCCAGGCTTCTACTCGACAAACATCAACCATGACCAAGATCTTCCTGTTAGTTCAACCCCGCATCTGCTGTAACTTTAGCTGACCCGCTGGAAACAAAACAGTACAGGCGCTACTGGCTACATTGGCGGTGATGTCCTTCACACGCTGTTGAAGTCGCACCCCGAATACAAGGTTCGAGCTTTGGTCCGCGATGCTTCAAAAGGAGCTGCTATAACCAAGGGTTATAGTCAGGTGCAGATCGTCACTGGCGGACTTGACGACGCAGATGTTATCGCACAGGAAGCCCAAGATGCTGACGTCGTGCTCCGTAAGTCCATCCTTGTCCCTGATCTCAAGGGATTGCACTGACTCTCAATCTAAAGATCTTGCGGCCACCGGCCACTTGAAGAGTGTTCAGACCATTTACGAAGCTCTCTCCAAAAGTCCCAAGAGCGCGAAACCCCCATACTACATCCAGATCTCGGGTGCCAGCGCATTGGCGGCTGGTGAGCTCGCCGACAAGTCGCGAGTCTTTGGCACAGGCAGTGATGTCATTTACAATGATCTCACCGGTATCGACTCGATCAAGTCGCTCATCAAGCAACACCCAAGCCGTGCAGTGGATAATTACATATTTTCCGTTTCAGAGAAAGACTCGCATATAAAGACAGCGCTTGTTGTTCCTCCCATCATTTACGGCCAAGGTCGTGGTCCCGGCAATCAGCGCAGCATGCAAATTCCCGGGCTCGCCAAAGCGACATTGGAGCGCAAGAAGGGTCTGCAAGTTGGCACTGGTGAAAGTCGATGGGGAAATATTCACATCGCTGATTTGAGCCGCATCTTTCTCAGTTTGGTTGAGAAAGCGGTTGAGGGCAATCAGGACGAGAACATTTGGGGGACTAATGGCCTCTTTTTCACTGGTGCTGGAGAACTGGTAAGTTTTGCATCGTCAACCAGCCCAGATTTTCATGCTAACAGATTGACTGCAGTCATTTGCCGAAATCTCACGTCGCATCGCTGTCGCTGCGAACGACTTCAATCTCATTCCAACCACAGAAGTCGACAGTCTAGATGGAAAGGAAATAGACAGCATCATCTCCCATGGATCTGTCCTGTTGGGAACAAACGCGCGCGCCGGAGCTGATCGGGCTCGGAAGGTCCTCGGCTGGGAACCAGAAAATGAAAGCTTGGAAGAGCATATCCCGACCACAGTAATTCAAGAGGCTGAGGCGCTTGGCATTAAGGGTAAGAACCCCAGATCCAAGCTTTGAATACAAACATTAATGTTGAATCCGACATAGTCGAGCAATGGAGACACTGAGTGTAATGCTGAAGTCGCGGGGCGATACTGTCGCGACAGGTCATCCTGTAAACGGCTGGTCACAGTGGAGTGAACGGACAGGTTATTATTCAAGCGAATTGGTTGAGACTTTAATTTACAATTCAATATCTATAAATTAATGCGGCATCCTTTTGGAACTTTGATGTTGCAAGGTTCGAGAAGTCCAAGCAAACGTTGCACAACTGAATGTGGTTTTCTCGACCTAGTTTCAACCTGAATTTAGAAGAATCATTTCAATCGCGCAAAGTTATCGTCTAGAGGACACCGCTAATGCATCAAATACTCTCAAACAATTAAGAGCATACTAAATTTAATGTCCTCACGATGGGGCTCACGAGGACCAGCCGGCGTCTATAAGCGCCCGAACCCATGAAGCTCAACAAGCGGAAAGTTCTCAAGTTCGCAAAGGCTCGCGTAAGCGTCGCATTCTTCGGGGCCCTTAAGCTCTCTGATGAATGCTGGAAGATGAGAGATGAGGCTATGAAGCAGGATGATACTGTTACTAATGGTGAAGGTGCTGATGACTGGGATTTTATCTGTCTGCCCATTCCTGGGGATGAAGACGGTAGCTTTTGTGGCGAGTTTGAGGATGACGAAGCGGATGAGGATGATAACAAGGATGAGGAAGAGGGAGAAGGAGAAGCAGAAGGCGAGACTGCGAGTAATGCTGAGAAGGAGAATGATAAAAAGTCTTTCGACAAGCTCGCATCACTTCACCCGGACTGGCCTTGGTTCTTCACCATGAGTGGTGTAGATCGCTTTAAGTGGTGGCAGCAAGAGTGTCTCAAGCGCATCCAGGACGACTTCGGCTTCCTCGTCCACAACTACATTGGAGTTTAGGGTGCACTTGAGGTATTGGAGAACATTCTGAGTAAGTCCCCCACGAAGAACGTTCTGCCCACTGATTAACATCCTTGTTTGTAGATGGAGTCTTAAAGTCAGATTCGATGATATGTTTGTTCCCCAGAAAGATGAGACCTACCGACGGAGGACCTTGAATACGAAGAAGTATATGGTTTTTTTTTATGGATATATAGTGGGTATAAGACTGGATCAAGTATTGTCCTTTGTGTAAGATTATTTGAATTTGAGAGGTATCTGTCTAGGCTCGCTTCTTGTTCAACAACTCCCTCGCCATCTCGCAAGACTTGGCAATCTCAACATTAGAAATTACACCAATTCGCTCGTTGATTTCCTGCTCAATCTTGGGAATATCCTTTCCAACACCCTTCGCCCTCCACTCATACGCATCGCCGACAAATCGACTGCTATCAACAAGCCACTGGCCCCTCTCTCTCCTTGACTCATCATAAGCGGCAAACGCAGCCTCAATATCCGAGAGACTCTGCACACGCTCATCGGCGAGAAGTTCTGCCATGACTGCGCTGTCTTCTATACAGAAACCAGCTCCGGCACCGTGGTGAGGGCTTGTGGCATGGGCGGCGTCGCCGAGGATAGCTATTCTGCCCTTGTAAAATGTTGGGACGGGGTTGTCGCCAAGATCGAAGATAGCCCACTGTGAAAATTAGTATTCAACTCATGCCGCTGGACGATGAACATACCACACTGAGAGTCTCTTCTGTCAGCTTTAGAAGGTTTGTCACGGTGCTGTTGTAACCCTTGAAGTCGTTCAAAGCATCCTGGCGATGCGCTGTCTTGGTGAGCCTTGTAGGATCACTCCACTCATTCGGATCTGTGCGGAACGCGACAACGTTGAGCTTCTCGCCGTGGTTGACTTGGAAGGTCAAGACATGACCATCCTGTCCCATCTGAGACTTGTCAATATCATGTCCAGCAGCGCAAAAGGGCCATCAACTTACGTGCATGCATGCATTTCGCGCCCTCTCCTCACCAACAGCCTCAATGGCCTTATCCATAGGAATTAGACCACGATAAGCATACTTGTGAGAATACCGAGGTCGTGCAGATGGATGATTCTCTCCAAAAAGGATCCTACGGACGCGAGATCCGATACCATCACAGCCAATCAGAGCATCGGCATATGCCGTCGTGCCATCGGAAAAGCGCATGCGAACCTTGCCATTAGGCTCTTCCACTGCGTTATCAATGTGCTTGTTAAATTGCACCTTATCTGAAGGCAGAAGGTGAATGAGCTCGTTGAGGAACTGAGCTCTGTGAACACCATTTTGGCCGAGTGAAGTCTTGATGCTGAAAGCCACATTGTCATCCTCGGTGGTGCCGTCTAGAAAGTCAAACCAAGTCTTGCGCTTAGACTCCCAGCCATTCCAGGTGCAGACTTTGTGAAAAGCATCGTGTACACCAGGATGACACATCTTCATCGCTTGCACGGCATTGGGAGTGAATGAGACGCCTGCGCCGATCTCGTGGAAGTTGTCGGCTCGCTCATAAAGCATAACAGGCACATTGCGATGGTGAAGGGCGATAGCCAGAGTTAGACCGGCAATACCACCACCGACAATGGCTATGTCGAATGGCTTCGTAGTGTTTGACGAGATAGCCATGTTGATTAGTAAATGATGATTAAAGAAAGAAATCTGATTGAAGCATTGACACAAGGCCGTGAGTAGGTCTTGGTCTTTTAATAATAAGGAGTGAAGATGTTTTTGCTCACTCCATAAAGCTAGCTAGTCCCCATTCTGCCGTCATAGATGCATCCGACTCTTCCAGACCAGAAAACCAAGAAACAACCAAGAAACAGCCAAGAAGATGGGGAAACACCCGGCTTCCGACCCCCACTCGCTGCTTTCCGACGCATTTGGAGTCTGAGCTCGGGGCTTCCTTTGCGGGGAAAATCTCCACGTTGCTTCCGCGGAGACTGACTCGGTAGTTTCTGAGTCGATCTTCTAGATCAAAATAAGCCGCAGAATTCTGGATACCGACTGAGTTTCAAGCTGGGGAATCGGCACGTGGCCACTATCAGCTTCGGATGCTGGGTTTCATGAAGTGTTCTTGAAATATTTGGCGTGTTGACCTATCAGAGGAGGGCATTGTCATGTTTTAAGGGCGCCAAAGTCGAAGCTAAAGAATGGAAGCCAGGTAAGCTCCGTTTACAGCCAACAGCAAGCTTTGAAGGCGTAGAACAGAGCTGCAAAGAACACATCTAATACACAAATGGTGGGTCGCAGTAGATCTCAAACATCTAGAACCGGTAGTTGAGCGACGCATACCCCGCGGGGCAGGAGAAGGGGTTAGCTATACCCCAAATATGCATTAGTTCGACTACCCGTGTGTATAAAAGCAGTCCCGATAACAACCTGGTTTACCCCAGATTCTACTACATTATCTAAACTTTCTCTGCGAGATGTCTTCCGATCCTACTATTGTATTCGCCCCAGGTGCCTGGCACTTGGCTTCTTGCTTTGATCCCATTCGCGAGGCACTTCACAGCCGAGGATGGACAACCGAAGCTGTTGAGTATCCATCGGTTGGCGCAGAGCCTCCCACTAAGGGTCTTGATGATGATGCCGATGCTGTCCGAACGGTCCTTCAACGTCTAGCCGATAAAGGAGAACAGATTGTCCTTGTTGTTCATTCATATGGTGGTTTGGTCGGTGCCAATGCCGTGAAGGGGCTTGGATACCGTCGGCGCAAGGAACAAGGTCTTCCCGGCGGTGTCATCATGTTTGTGTACCTAGCCGCGTTCGTGACACCTCTTGGTCTGAGCATCAAGCAAATGCTCGGCGGCCAATTCCTGCCCTGGATGAACCCCAAGGTAAGCAAATCCGAGTATTCTTACTCGAGCAGACTCCATTCTAACCAACACCAGGGAGATTACGTGTACGCAGACACCCCAGAGGAAGTCTTCTACCATGATCTGAGTGGCGAGGCGCTTGACAGCGCCATGAAGACGCTCAAGCATCAATCAGGCCGTGTTTTCACAGATACTGTCACATATGAACCATGGCATGATATCGAGACCATGTACTTCTTTTGCGATGACGACAAGGCGCTATTCCCCGTAGTTCAAGAGCAAATGGCAGCTATGCTGGGTCCTAATGCCGTGCAATTCCACTCGAAAGCGTCGCACTCCGTCTTCCTGTCGAAGGTCGATGAGACAGTCAAGGGAGTTGAGTTAGCTGCCGAGGAGGGTAAGAAGAGAGCAGCTTAGGTTAATACTCAAGGCCTGGAGCATTATGGTACAATTTGGAATTAAGATATCCTGTTAGCTTATGAAATCGAATTCTTATCGCCAGGTTTTGAATTGTTTGAGATCACCCATATCTCTACTCTCGTCAAGTGAACGGAACCAGATTGAACGACTTTCCGGGGTCTAGCCACATAGGTCCTATGAACAGTCCTCCAGGCCGGTTTCGCTTGAGAAGGTTGAGAATGATCGACTCCTTCGTGAGTTGGAACCGTATAGTCAATCGATCGAGTTTGGGGAGGGTCGGGAGTTCTGAGACGTATTGCAGGATCTTCCAGTTGGGGAACCTGAAGCCTTTCAGTTCAGGAAGCCCGGGGAGGGGAATACCAAGGGCCTGGTATGCAAAGTCTTGAAGCTGAGGACATTTCTGGACAAGTCTTGCAAGTCCAGTAAAATTGCTTTTATTTTCTCCTTCATCTCGAATCTGAGGCGCTGTCCAGTCTGTGACTCTTTCGAGCCAATCCGTATCGCCAAATTCGCCAGGATCATCGTCACGTTACCTGAAGGTAAAGACCCGCGTTGAGATGTTAGTATTGAGTGATGTCACAGTCGCCAGCACATGCGCGATATCAGGCCTGTCCCAGTCAATCATGTTGAGTTGATCGCTAGCCAAGGCAAAGAGCTTCATGTCGGTATCGTGAAACAAACTGAGACATTTTATTTGAAGCTTGGCAGCAGCCAATGATTCCATGACAACGAAGAATGTGTCGTTGCTGCACTGCCAGGTACTTCTCATCGTGGAGCGCTCCTCGAGTTCGCTCTTAATCTAGATTTGATGTTTGAGACGACCCTCGGCGTGAATCCTCAAAGCTACGATGCCCAATGGATTTCCAGGGCCTTTCGCAAGTGTTGTGAAGGCCTGGGTGAGAAGTTTGATCAATTCCTCGCGTGTCGTGGGCGGTTCGCTCAGCCGCCTTTCTCCATCTTCATCGTGGACACCCATTATCGCCAGGATCTTAAATACAATGCAGGATTCAGCCTCTTGGATGAACTTCTGCAAATGCTTGGGAGTCAAAAACACTACTCTGTTAGCCATTTTTGCGATTAGTCGCCGGCGTGATGTAAGAAATGAAATTGAGAAGAGGTCCCTTCAAATGCTGATGGGGCTTGAAACTAAATTCATCACCCATAAGTTTGAGTCTAACTCGCCCAAGGCTGAGGCGATATCCACCAAAGTTGGAGAAGTCTTGAGTGCACTACGAATATCTATATCTAGAAACTCCAAGTCAAGAGGCAGTATTGATAAGTATTCGAATATTTATATACAGCTGGGTTTGAGTACAAGCTAATCACGACTGAAAGGCCAAGTGTCAATGCTTTGGCTGTTTTCCGTCTCATTCAAGTAAAGTCGAAATATAGCTCACAGGTGTCAAGATCAAAATATTGTGCCTCAAGATTGTCAATTCAAGTATCTGATTCTGGGTGAGGCTTTTTCCCTATCCGTGACATAATAGTCAACCCATCCTCCAAGAAGTGAATGATTGTTTGTGGATCCGTTTACTTGGTTCCGGGAACGTTGAGGCAGGCAGCGATATCGCCAGCAATTGCAAGAGGGCTACGAAATATTTAGTATTTTGATTTCGAATCAAGCAAATAGCGGTTAAATTACCAGCCGATGACGTCGACGATTCCAATAATGCTGTCGAGGCTGAGGTTGGGGAGACATCGGGTGATGCCAGTGATCTGGAGAAGACAGGCAGGGTTGAAGAGGGATGGGAGCTGTCGCTCCTCCACCTGAGGGGTAGCAGCCGCGACGGCGAGGGCGGGAAGAGCGAGGATGAGTGAGGCCTTCATGTTGATGGTTTGGGGGATCTGAGAGATCTTAGATTGAGTGATCGTTTGATTGTTGTGATGGAAGAGTGTGATTGTGAGTGCTGAAGATGGACTGATGAGGAGGGACGAAGAAGGGTTCTTATATATATGCAAGCCCATACAGAGTCAAGATAAGAAGTCCCTCAGGACATCTCTCCTCCCTGCTCAACGATCACAGCCTTTGTGAATGTCTGAAAACCACAAGGGATGAGGGGCCGGCCGAATTCCACAGACAGTCGTCATCCCACGGAGTTGAAACTCACGATAGATACATTACTTTCCATAGGCTATTGGTAGTCCCACCTGGTCAAAATCATCCCGTAGCCGTGCGAAGACGTTTGGGGTTGCACGGGCTCAACGTCCTGGCGATTAAGTTTGTCTTACCGCGTTGGGCCAGAAGCATAATTGTCTGGTATGTGATATCTCAATTTGGCAACTTTCATGATAACTCTTACTATTCTGAGACCTTCCGCTGCCATTTATGTCATAGGCGTCTGTCAATGTTACGGCATCGGTTGATTCGCAGGCGATCAGGGTGAAGAACCGTTCTGAATGGACCGGAACCTTTGAAGTCTGCCCCTTGACTTGAATATCTTCGAGGCAGTGAAAAGGATTCGAGATGAAGCTGGGAAGTGAAGATCCGATAAACTTGGCTTTGACTCAGATGTGCATCAGTAAGGTTTCCAGCTGCATCTACATTCACATATCACTTCTTTAGTCTCATGGATCTTGGCTAAGTCTTGTTTGTCTTCTATCTGCAGCTGCAACCGCAGGGCTCTGGTCGAGAAGCTGTCTTTTGAAAACAAATCTTCATTCAATAACTTGGTCATATAGTCAACCCCCGCAAAGTATTCTAATTGTGAGACAATAGGACGCTCCCCTTACCCCAGCCGCACGTCAAGCGACAAGTACCGTTCCATTCCTGGCCATCCTTGCATCAGTCTGATCGACACTAAGGGCCAACGTCCTGTCTCAACGTCGAAAGTTCCAGACACCAGCTTCATGGATATGAGTGGTACAGAGAAGGTGATCTGCAAACCGTTACTATGCCCGAAATATGAGAATCAACTGTCTGCTGATCTCTATCGACTCGCATTCGCGACTGCGTGAATACGAAAATCATTTTGCAGGGCACCCATCATCCCTTTACTGTAACAGGGCGCGACATCTCTCCCTTGAGTACTTTAGTCTTGTGAAGCCAAATGCAACCTACGATCTCATCGCAACCAACATCGACCGGGGAAGACATCCGAGTCACATAACTGCACTGTCAATCTTGATATCACCGCATCAAAATCTGCAAGTCGTCCAAATAAGAAGAGGCGGGAACTGTCATGGCAGTCTGTGCCGTCTCTTGGCTCACAAAACCGGAATGGAGCAGTGTTTGGGCCCCCAATGTCTCGGAACTGCGAATATCAGTGGTGCGGATGTCGGTCAGGCGGAGGTTCCTCAGCGGTATTCCGGATGGCAGCTTGGCATTGACCAAGTGCGCTAGATGAGCTGTCAGTTACATAACCTGGCGGGATCTAGATCGAGCGGCCCGTCGCGAGCGGAAGTTTACTTGAGAAGCTAATATTAGGGGCTGAAGGCATGGTTAGTCCCGGCTGGCAAAAATTGTGTTCTGCACCTTCAGCTTTCAGCCATATTGCGAATTGAATGTGCGAGTTCCATGAAATTACAGGATTTTATGAGGCTTATCATGTAATAAGCCTAAGACCAGCAGGTTTGGACTTGGGCGTAGTGGAGACCTATTTCCAGCTCAAGTTTCCATCTCATCACACCTACCAATGACTTTTCTTTCTCTTCCGGTCATTTGTTGAAGCGGTGTGGTGCCCCCATCAGTGTCTCTGTTGTTATGTCACGGTGCGATAATCAGTCAGGAAAACCTCTGCCGCCTTACCCGCCAGTGTCTTTGCAGGGCTGGTTGGTAGTTGGAACTTGATGCATGGTCGAAGAATGTGATGGATGACAAGTGGCAGCGGAACGGCTAGCCTTAACCTTAACTTTGTAAAACCTCCGATGGAGTGAGGATGGCGGGATATGATTTGTGATATTCACGATAGACGTACGTAACGACGCATGGATCGTCAACATTCATTATGGATATATCGTTTTGACTCAGAACCAAAGTAAGGGAGCTCATGATAGGCTCATGGCAGATTGCAATTAGTCAATCGATCGATCACCTGACGATGTATCCATCGTGATGATCTTGGATGATGGACACGCGTCCGTGCCATGTTGGGGTCGGGCCAGCTGATCAAAGTCTTACAGTTGGAATTAGCCTGTAGCGTCGGCTTGATGTAAGCAAGTACTTGCAGTACTCAACAAAAATACTCAAACGAATTGAAATTTGCTGGAGTCGGAGCTATTACTGCTTAACTATCACCGATCAGCTACAAAACAGTGATGGGGTTGGTGGCGTGCCATCGGGAGTTAGAAGTTAAACCTTGCATCCAACCTCGTGGTGAGAAGACAGACTAAGCTCAGCAGATACTTCTTCCTGTCCACCCGTTGCTTACTAGGTAGTTAAGCTGTCCCCACCCGAGCCAACGGGTAGCGAATCAATGCTGAGGGTGTCCGGCGTTTCATCTGTTAGTCCCTCTCCGAGATAGGAGACGGAGCTGAAGCTCAATGCCCGAAGATAGACATTTCCGGGGTGACTACCCTGCAACTGTGCACTTTACATCAGTTGTTACAGGGCTGCTCCCAATTGCCAATGACAGTACAGGGGGGCTGATAGAGCTAGAAAGTGCCACTGGAAGGCTATCGAAGATTTGCTTCTTAGGACCAGGGTGAACCATGGCGCGGATCCGCGTATGGAAAAGTCTGCACACACGTCTCAAGAACTCAAATACTCGTATGCTGCACAATATATAATATTCAATCTTCAAAGCAAGCTCATCAATACCGGCACATATATCCGAGAGTACATGCATATCAACTGGTTATTGTGTTACCCCATTACAGGTTCTGTGTTTTTTTACGACGTCAAAGGGGATGCAAGTTCTGCATGGCCAAAGTGCAGTGCTACACAAACCACGTACTGGGCTTGATAAGGTGTTGCACGGAGTTAAAGGAAATTGTCCGTTGGAAATTATGCACACCTTCACCTAAAAGTGTGACTGGATGGGAGGCGACATTCAACATTGTTTCATCAGGTTATGGGCAATATTGGTAAGCTATTGGTAGTGGCACAGCAATAATTGAGCAGCTGAGATCGGTCTGTTGGTGATGATCAAAGTTGATGACAATCATCTGCTTCGTCAATAACAAAGAAAATGACGTAAATGAACGCAGCGAAGATGTCACGTAACCACAGATACTGTAAATCGTGGTCTCGGCGAAAAGAAGTGCGCAAGACCGACCGGCTTATCGAGCTTATCCGTAGATCCACGAAAGACCGAATCCTTCCAGTCACATTTTTAGGTGGAAGTGGGCATCTTTTGTAATCACAGTTATCTTAGCGCCATGTCGGCCATGTCGGCCACGTCGCGACGCGAGCCGGCGCCGGTCTTTAGCACCTAATGATCGCCATGGGCCCTTGAGCGAGGCCCCTATGGGGTTTAGCGTGTGGTTGACTCACCTCGCTGCTCGGACTTGTCTAGATTTCCGACCTACGACGGAGGAACTGAAGAGTCCAGAATATGCAGCCAAAATAATAACATGGCACCATGGATCAGACGGATCTGGCTATTTAGATATGCAAGAGTCGCACGATTGTTTTTAATTTCGGATCTATTAATTTAGTACATAGACAAATAAACAACTACCGACCTCCATTAATCGTGGTCTGACTTTTTAAAACCCTTCAGCCCCTGCATCTCAACATCACATACCCCTTTCGTTCAGTTCAACCTTCAACATGACAGTCGATCTAGAACAACAGTCGTCATCCCCTGCTCCGACGTTACACGACGAGCCCGCCGTCATGGAGGACACACAACGGCATGGCATCAACTCACCAACATGGCACGGCCGAAGAGGCCTCGTCATCAAGATCCTCACAGGAGTAATGGTCGCCATTCTCGTCGTCTTCCTCGCCGACCTTTCATACGTCTTCGGTTCCACATTCAAGGTCGGAAATCGAGTATCAGCCTTGAAGATCCTAGTCGTCGATTACGATGGTGGTGCTGTTGGAGAGTCTGTCGCCAACGCATACAAGAACTTCCAGGACAAGACTTTCCCTACCCTCGAGTTTCGATCCGCCGACGACTACCCCGAGGCAAAGGATGTCAAGCATGGTGTCTGCAACGCCGATTACTGGGGCGCTATCTACATTAACAAGGGCTCTTCCGACAAACTTGCTGCTGCTTATGAAGGTGGCTCTGCTGCGGAGAACTACAACCCTGCCGACAGTATTACCTATATCTACAACAGCGCCCGATACCCTACTGTCGCTTCTGGATACTTGGTTCCCAACTTACAAAAGGTCATTGGGGCTGCTAGAGGTAGCTACTACCAGTCCCAACAGGGTCGATCCGCCCTACGAAGCGTCAACAGCAGTGACCCAGCTGCCGTCGAAGCATATCTCAACCCCATCCAAGGTACCCCCGACATCATCCAGCCCACCAACCAGGGAAGTCGAAACCTCTACAACACCATCAACATTGTCATGGCTATCCTTGGCCAGTTCTTCTACGTCCTCGCCATGAACGGTATCTACGACAAGTTCGGCCTTCACAAGAACATGCGCATCCGCGATCTCTTTATCATGCGTTTCATCAACGGCATGGTATTCTCTGCTCTCTATGCACTGACCGTCACTGGTTACATCTGGGCGTTCCGTGAAGACTGGGGTGTTTCTGGTGGACAGTTTGCCCTCTCCTGGTTGACCTTCTGGCTTTTCATGGATGTCAACTTCCAGGTACTGGAAACTCTAATTGGAAGTTACATTCCCATGGCTCTTACGCCTTTCTTCCTTCTTACCTGGTTCATGATGAACGTGGCTTCTGTCGTGTTCCCCTTTGAACTTACAGCTGGTTTCTACCGCATTGGATACATATTCCCTGCTCATTCATTATGGATCATTCTCATCCAGGTCTGGTCTGGATGTGGCAACTCCCTTCACATTGGACTTCCTATTCTCTTTGCTTGGTGGGTTGTTGGACATGTGACAGCATTTTTCGGTATCCGAAAGAGATGCTTGGATCAGTTGGAGAATCTTAACGCTGCTGAAGGCAAGCAACAATAAAGGGATCACTTGGCTGAGTAAGAGGACTTTGACTAAAAGTGTATTTGTACGGATTGGACGACATAGATTTTTCAACATACCCCTCGATAGACTACATACATAATAATTATTTCATACAGTTCAGACAGTCGCCTTTGTTTCTGACATCTCAAGTGCATGATAAATTCTGTAGTTGAACACTGTGCATTGCCCTAGTAAATATCTAACTAAGTGACAAGACGAACTTTGAGCTTGTCGCCCTTGACAATTTCTTCCTCCTTCGTCATCAGTTCCGGAAGATCCCAAGTGAGGTTAATGTAACGTCCCGCCAGCCACGGTCGCTTTTTCGATGCCAGATACACCAATGAGTTGGCACAAAGAGCGGGAGTGTCAACAAACGCTTACTCATGTTAGCAACTGCTGGTAGTGATTTAAACCGATAGACTGACCTGGTCTGTACAACTCGGGAACTCCTTCGATTCCGCCCAGCATTTCCGACGGGGAGTTTCCGGGGTGGACACAGTATGAGATGATTCCTTTGTCCGCGTACTCGACCGAGATGAACTCTGTCAATCTGACAACCGCCAGTTTGGAGATTTGGTATGCGCTCAGGGTCGGCGACACGAGATGAGCTCCGACGCTGCTGATGTTGATAATAGTTTTGAGTTCCGACTTGACAAGCAGAGGGGCCATGGCTCGTGCAATGAGATAAGGTCCAAACACATTCGCCGTGAGGGTCTGCAACCAGTCTGCAGGCTCCGACTCAGGCATGGACACCATTTTCATGAATGCAGCATTGTTAATCACGATGTCAACGTAACCGAACGCTTCGTCAATCTTCTGCGCCAAGGCATCAACGCTCTCTGGAACACCGACATCAGTCTTGATGGTTAGGACCTCTGGCTCTGGGTGGCCTGTTTCTTTTGCCGCAGATTTGATAACCTCGGCGGTTGCTGACATATCGGACCTAGAAGCGACAATGAAACGAGAAGTACCAGCTTGAGCAAAGGCTGCGCACATGGCTTGGCCATATCCTCGGGATGCTCCAGTAATGAGGACTGCCTTGCCCTTCAAATTGAAGTTCTTTGGGTCAATGGCAGGATAGGTATCGGAGTGCACCACCGAGGTAACGTCATAGTCACCTTCATGAAGGTCAATTCATGCATAAGAAGTCACGCAAAGAGGGCTTGCTTACCAGGCCCTTCAAGAGGGTTGGGAGTTCCTTTGGGAGGAGGCATGATGAAAACTCTTGCTATAAACTTTGCTAATTGGTTTTGTCTTGAAAATCAGATGAAAGAGTTGCTTACTTTGGGTTCTCATGCCTGAGACAATGAGGCATCTTATATCCGTTCATCGCAACGGGTTCCTCGCGGTTATTACCAAGCTTTGGAGGACTTCGCCGCAGGCGGAATTTCCGGTCAGCCACTGAAGCAATCCCTGGCCAATCGCTTACACGCGAAAATCCTCAGCCAAGGTTTTGTTCCTGTCAGCCTATGTCATTACGGATATAAAAACAATGATGCAGCTCGGATTTTACATAATTCTCTTTCCAGGCTCCCCGACTAAATCGATTGAGGTGCATGCTATCTGCTTGCTAAATCCAGCTACTCAAACTTGTAGCGATGATGCAGGCTCGGTTGCAGTGGTAATCCCGGCCAACAACTCCTCCCAAGTTTCATCTTCCATCATACCAAAGTCTAACACTGCTTCTGGTTGCATATTTCCAGAACCAGTACTCGAGAGATATCCCTCCGAGCTACCCAGCTCAGAAGAGGAGTTCTGTCCATCACATCCTATAGAAAAGTTCAAAGGGCCTGGTTCCAGCCTCTTCGTCTCCTCATACGCAGCTGCCACTGCCCATATCATATCCGAGAATCCAAGCATGATGTCTTCTTCATTGCCGATTCTCTGCACTTGAGATGAGAGATTCTTGAACTTTGCTTGCAATCGTCTCGCCTCGCCCTTCAAGTCAGCTACCCTTTCAACCATCATAGGATCATGGATGGGAGAGCTAATGGCTAAGAAAGCGACACTGTTAGAAACAAGTCCAGTCTCTCTAAAGATTTCAGGTGATATCTTGCTAGCATTTGAGAGGCACAAAAGACTTCGGCAAATCTTTGCTGTTGTATAAAACGTGATGTACCAGAGCTCTTCATCTAGACAGGCTATGACAGCATCGTTCAATGATTTGCAGCTTTGAAGAAGGTTGAGCAAGATGGAAACCCTGGTACCACTTGAGAAAGACAAGTTATTGGCCGTCAAGAAGTTGGCTATTGTTGTTCTATCCCAAAAGTCATCATGCAGCGAAACTTCACCGAGTAAGGTATCAAGCAAGTGGACCTCCAATCTCAGAGCAACTGTTGATAACCTTTAGTCAAGACATGGATAGAGCGTCCTTGAAAGTTAACTCACAGTTGTTCTGAAGATTTGGGGGAATTGAGGCCTTCAATAATGCTGACTCGTTATTGAGGGTCTGCAAAGCCATGGCACTGACAAGCTCTCCCCTCATCCCTGAGTTTTCTAGGTCGTCGTATCCAAAAGTGTCGCATATACGACGGCACAATTCGTTTATGCGAACGAAATGGGGGATCAGAAGATCACTCGGATATTCTGCGTTGGCTAGGAGGAGTTCCCAGCTTTGCTTGATGTATCCCGTGTACGGTAACGCGCCACGAGTTCGAAACTTGATAGAAACCCTGAACCGTTAGTCTTCCACCAGTTTATGACCCTTGACATTTCTATGCGTACCAAGATGCCGTGCAATATGTTCCAAGCAAAGCTCGAAGTTGCTCTGCAGACCGTGCGGCCTTTCGTCCCGAGGCTGTTTCATCTGGCCCAAGATCGACTTTTCGTCTCATATTTTCAGGGTTGTGATCGAGTCCCAGGTTCTGAACCAGTGAGACACATAATTGTGCGATCGGGACAATTTGCTGCTTCTCGTAACTGATGAAGAAGTACTGGTACCATGCTAGGTAAACCAAGAGACCCTGTAGAAGCTCAAGACTGCTTTCTGACTGCATCAAAACTCGTTGATGTGCTTGAATGCGGACTTCTTCGCCGATCTGGCGTTGGATGGTGCAATTGTCGAATTTCATGGTTGCCATGATGCACATGAACAAGAAGGGCTTAGTAGCTCGAAGAGAAGCGACAGTAGTTTCGGAAGAGACGGGAACGAAAGGGAAGTGTTGAATGGCTTTGGTACGATAGTTGTCGATCAAGATCTGCGCTTCATCTAAACTGAGAAGGCCGCGATCAATGACATCCACTGTCCCCTGTAGTGTTAAGCCACGAGGTAACAGCAATTGATCAAACTGGCCGCCGCTCAGCTCATTCATATTGAGGTCTCCAGAAGCTAAATGTGCCACGAAGCCACTCATGGGCGTGCCCTGGGCTTGGTCGCCCAACAAAGCCAAAACTCTACTCAGCCTTTGCTCGAGGAGTCGTGTGCGGCTGAGCCCCGTTAACGTCAAGCTAAAACTCCTGCTTTCATAGACTTACGAGGAGCTGGAAGGACTCTTTCGCTTCTCCACAACATTTAGATAGGTGCACCGCTTACCAAGCCTATTGCACCGCTGGCATTCATCAGATGATAATGGCAAACATTTCGACTTAACAGAGGTGCAATTGACACAAGCTCTCCTTCTCACACCAGAAGCTTTGGAAGAGGTACTAGTCGACATTTCGTATTGTCTTATACTCAATGCCTTGTCGTTGATCACTAGTATTAGGCTGGAGAGATCATGGAGTTCCTGGTAGGCCTGTCAGATTCCGAAAGCTTTCGGACGGCGGAGTTTCCGTTGGGCCAACAAAACTTGGATGTGCAAGATGACGTGAGTCAGCATTTAATACCCAATAAGCATAATTCTGAATTTTTGTATCTAGCTAAATCAAGATCTTATCGCAGGCTCAATGACGTTTGACGCGTCTAAATGACCGTTTTGAGACAAGTTTGTAAGGTTTTCTACTAGCTAGACAAGGCTGTGTTCTTATCAATCAACTCGTCAAACACGACCATCTCCTCAAACCTATCAGCCATTGCATGGACCTGCGTTTCGGCGACTTTCTTGGATACAGAATCAAAGATGAAGCTCGCGAAAGCCTCCTCAGCGGTCGTATGATGCTCCCCAGTTTGATCAATTCCTCGCAACAGGTTCTGGGCTTCCCGCGCCGCAAGGGCATCCTTTGCATGGCCATGGATAGAAAGGCCTTTGCAACATCGCGGAACATGGTATAGCAGAAGTACAGATCTTGCCAGCAGCGCACACATAGGTAAAAATAGTGTCGCCATAATGGGTCCTGCAGGTCTTCTAACATGGCGAGGCTGAGCGTGGGCAGTGCGGCGTTGAAGAATGTTGTGTAAGATGAATGAGAATACTTCGCACAGAAGCAGAACACTAGTTCTTTCAATTGATTCACTGAAGCGGCGGTATACTGCTTAGGGGTGACTGTCTGGAGATGTCAGTGTCATCAATCGGCTTGACCGTGGCATGGCGATGAACGGACGGAATATTATCGTCACACCGACATGAAAAAGGATACTGTCAGGTGATTAGATAAGTTCTCTTGATTGCCTACTGGGTGACTTACTGGAAGATGATAACCTTGTATGGGCAGTCGTCTACTCTCTTCATGCCATCAGCAAGGCCGTCAACCCATACCAACAACACGCCATCTGCATTGATTATGTCAGTGTTATCTATCCAACGAGAAATACAGTATCATCACTGCATTTGGACTGCCTTAGACTCATGCCCTGTCCTTCGAGCGCAGCACGAGGTAGCTTAAACGATGCAGTATATTAACTCATTGGTGTATTCAATACTATATAATTATCTCGATCAATTATTCTCACTTTTTATACCAACCACTGCCTACAGCCTTTGTCTTGGCAGGACCAACGTACTTCTTCTCGTACGCAGCGAACTTGTTACTCGCCGAAGAGCCCTTGGCATCGGGAAAATCGACCTTGCAGCCGAGAGCCTTGTATCCGGGAACAAGCGCATCTGAGACACCATTGAGAACTGACTGTAAGAGTCGAACGGAGTTGAAGAGCTCAGCAGGGAAGTTGGCAAAGATTGCATTGTACAAGAAGCAGCTCAGGCCTTGAGGATCCTTGGGCAAGTCAAGTGGACCAACGACCCAACTGCCGTCAGCGCCAGATCCTCCCAGAGCGGGTTGAGCGTAAAGGTAGACGTCAAGAATCCCACCAACAGCCTCGGGGATAGTCATGGGTGTAGCGCGTCGATACCAGCCCTGCTCGGGGATGCGCTCAGGCACATGGGTATAGTCAAGGTCCTTATCCTTCCAAGCGTTCTTTCGCTTTGGCTTGGCGCCATAGAAAGAGGTAATAGAAGCCTCGTTAGCGATACCGCCGGCACCAATGGTTCCATTGGAGAAGAAGCCAGGAACAAAGTAGTATGCGCCCATGACAACTGCGGCACTAGGGAGGTTGAAGTAAAACTGCTTGTTCGCGGCCTTGGAGTCTCTGTATCGGTTCTTGAAGTGTTCCTTGATTGCATCGACGTTGTAAGTACCATCACCCTTAGCGAGAGCCTGTTGGTGCATCTGCTTGAAGAGCTCGGACTTAAATGAAATGTTGTCGCCGTTGAGGTAGAAATCTTCACGTGTAGCAGACGCGTCGCCTTCGTTGAATTTTCCTGGACAGCTTATTAGTGACTGTCATATTGTAAGGTCTTTAAATTCATCACATACCATGTCCAGCGATACCAGATGGCTTGCCGAAGATCTTGTTCAAAGCTCCATTCAGAAGCCCGACACGGTTATCGGGGCCTCCAATGCTCATCTTCTGGGACAGAATATCGCCACCGTCAACGGCACCACCAACGGCGAGGAGGGCGGAAAGATCTGCGCCCATGTTGAAGAGCTTTGCAGTGCCGGCCTGGATCTGACCGATAGTCGCAATGCCATTTCGGGGAATATCTATTAATTGTCAGCTTCTTATTTGCTGGTTCTTCAACTCTTCAACTTACATCCGTGGTTGGCCAAAGTGTTGAGACCAGGGCAGGGGCCTCGCTGGTCAGTTTTACCAGGAGCTTTGAACGGGTGAGAAGCTTCAGGGAACTTCTGCAAACCCTTGACGGCTTTGTTGGTCGGAATCAAGCCTACAACATTGTCGAGGACAGCTTCGACTGTGCCTCCAAGCAAAGACACCACGCCACCCACGACGCCAGTCTTGAGCTGCCGGGGCTCACGCCTCTTTTCTGCTTGGCCAGCTTGGTGCTCTTTCAAGCGACGATCAATCTCTGTACGCGCTTCTGGGTGGTTGAGCAGCGCATCTAGTCCCCCTGGTGCTAACCAAGGAAAAGAAAGAGCCGAGGGGGCGCAAAGCGTGGCAACAACAAGAGAGAAACGCATGTTGATAAATCGGATGCTAATCGCTTTCCAAGCCTGGTACCTTCTGAAAGCTTATCAGGGCATTAAGAATAGAGTTCGGATATTATATAGGCATTTTTGAGATCCACCAAAGGCTTTCTCCCTGGAACTATTTCTCGAGAATGCTATGATGGTATCTGACGTACTCGAAAACATGATGACAGCCTTGACAGGAATCAGAAAACGACTCTCTACAAAGTGTTATGTGTACTTTTGCTGACCAATGTACATACGACTGGCTGTTGCAAGGGACACTAAAGTCAAACTATCGATTTTCTAGGTCTATTCTGGTAATACGCCCTGGCGAGGTTCGTAAACAGGGTAACGGTCTTCGGTTCAGCCATGTCGATCATAATGAGAATGCGGAGGATTTCAAAGCTCTTCTGATCATTGGTCCCAGATGATAATGGGGAACGGGCCGAAATGTTTCCTTCCTGCAAGTGCAGGGGATATGGCCCGGATTTTCCTGTCTTGTGCTGAGAAACACGCCAAGGAGAGACAGAATGACGATCTGATCATAGCCTTGTAAATCTGAGAGCCGATTCCTTGGCTGAGGCTCAAATGTGGATTTAATGATTGGGGCAAAAGTGACAAATAATAGTTTCAGCATGCTCGGCTTTAGGCAAGACATTTATCATCACCAGCATGGAGTCGAGTAGTTCTCCCTTATAGTGGCGATTTTGTAACAGGATCTTAGCGTTCTTGATGAGAAGTACATCATAATTGGAGTTCTCCTTGTAAAACTTCATATTCTACTGCAAGAAGTTTAAACGATTTATTATATTGGTTCTGTGGGGTGCTTCATCTAAACTTGAAAATCTTAGATTCAAATGTTGGCTACGGCCCCGCTCCTCGGATATTGGCAGATCCGTTCTGACGGTTCCTTGATTTGCTTTTGATTGGTCTTCTTCAGGTCTGGCGTGGCTACGAAGCTTGACGTTGATATGTGATCATCTTGACGTTGAACTAGATCAACACTAGTCTTTAAATGCTCCGCCGAGAAACGGGTTGTCGTTAAGCCGATGCTTTACAGTTATGCTCGTTCTAAGTCCCAAAGTTTCACTGGGCATGAGATCTTCAAAGGCTGTATCGGATATTCATCGACCCGCTTGGCTCTCGTAGTGACTAGCTGTACCCAGGTAGATGATAAAGCTATCTCGCAACCTTTTGCTAGGCCAACACGGACCTGTAACGTATTATGTATAGAAGTATTGCGAGGGCTTTAATTCTCATTCGAATGCCTTGCGATCCACCACCAACCGTGGATGGCTTCGACTTCTACGCGGATTTGGCAGTGCCAAGGCACTCATCACCATCGTTGATCGTGACATGATCGATCGAACACTGCCAGACCGTTGCCAAGACGTGGCCGATCAGAGCCTCATGAGGTTTTCCCATCAGACCTACACGATATTTTGTTTGTCGAAGAGCAATAAACTTTTTGTTGCGTGACTTGAATGGAATTTGTCATCTTTCTGGTTGCAATGCGTTATTACCAATTATTGCAGAAAACTTAACCGCGAGACAATGACTATGCGAGCCGAAATATGATACGAAAGATTCAGAAAATATGATGAGAACTAAAGACGAATAATAAGAAACTCCAAAAAAAGAAATGCTTCATAGCAGCTACTGGTTTCGATCCAGTGACCTCCGGGTTATGAGCCCGGCTGGGATGAGTTAGTACGAATTTGACGTTCGAGCTGTGGAGAAGAACATACCGCGCTTCCACTGCGCCAAGCTGCTTTGCTTGAGCTTATGTAATAGTGGCTGACTTAGATTAGTACATATACCTGATCCGTTTTCGTCAGGCCTCCCTCAGGGTAATCAACAGCTCCTTTCTGAACAAAACGAGATAATGTACATGTATGTCTTGACAACGAAAGCCCCGTTGCTTAAACCGATTACAACTTACCGCCGCACTATTTTTTCATAGCGTTCTCAATTCACTCTCAAGGTAGCCATTGCAAGTGAGTTAATTCGAGATCACGACGTTGAAATATACTCACGGAGTTGCAGAACCTTTGACCCAATTAAGCCAACCGGCCTTGATGAGTGTCTCCTTCCCTCCAGGAATCACTGGACTTGCTTCGGAATCACCGGATCAATATACAATTCTATTGGAGACGAGTCATTTCGTATTTCAACTTGGCGGCTTCTTTCATGTCTCACAAAACTGCATCACGCGTTTCAAGGCAGATTTCTCGTTCTTTGTCTCACAAGATTGGCTCGGACTCGCCCCACATGTCTAGCGCTGACAGCTCGTCAATCAAACCAAGCAAGGGACCAGTGGGTCCTTAATATTCTCCGAGCCATGGCATGTAAGTATAATAACCGCCAAAATCAACGTGTCAAAACAACTGGTAACTATTCTCACTTTCTTTGAAATGTCTGTTTTATCGATTTTGAATCAATTCCTTGTTGTTGCATTACATCCTCGTTCCAGAAAATTGCATCATCACCAAGATGCAGCAAGTTAGAACCTCCCCCCTCGCTACAGGTCTTTTCAACCTTTGGCTATGTATCTGGACTCTCATTGTACTTTTGATATTCTCTCTCGCATGTCTTGTTCAAGCAGGCTCCATCGTCATGCCAGATTGGACCAAAGATCTTCGGAAATTCGATGATGAAGAATGGGCCAGATACTCAGCCATATTGATCATATCAATCAGCGTTCTCTTTGTCTTAACAATGGTCACGGGGATAGCTGCAATTCGAGCCGGAAGATATTAAATCTACTCAACCGGAACTACGAATCTTTGACTGGGAAAATACACTCCGCCATCGAAGGCTAGGAAGAAGGTTGTCTCGACAAACAAGGAGGTCCATCAACTTCGGCAGCAACTAGTTCGACAGGAGTCGCATTGTGAAGTCCTACCTTCCAGGGCTCATTCCTGTGACCTGCATCTTCCTATAGGCACGTTGCTACAGAAGAAGGCTGTGCTGCGCCGAGCTCTTCATACCGATGGATATCTGCATAAGAGGCTCCTGACCCTGCAGAAGAACGACATTTGTTGCCTCGCTGATGATGCGTGGCAACTAAGCTGCCCATGTGTCATTTTGATGACATGTAGATGCACGGCTACCGGCGAGATATGAAGGGAAATGGAGGTTCAACAAGCAAAGGACGCATGGGCGCCCTTTCCGCTCGATAGAATATGGCAGAGAGTGACAGCCTGGTGATATAGAACTGGAGAGCCGAGGAAGCGAAGTGATAAAGTTTTATTTATTTTAGATATCATAAAACATTGGATGCAGCCCAATCATCAGTATCTTAACCGACCGCTTCCGTTATTCAACCCCAGATTCCAAAACAGCAAAAGTATCAGTCTCAGAATCAAGCTCAGCCAAAGCATCATACGGCAACGTAACCATCGGCGTCGTATGTCCAATATCCACATTGAACAGAATCGGGAACTTCTTTGAAGCAAGACGCCCCTCACAAAACAGTCCCTTGATGATACCCGCATAAACCTCTCGATCCTCATCGGAATCATATCCATAAGGTCGTCCTACAACCAGTCCTACAGCTTCTTCGAAAACGCCGTGGGCTATCAAGTCTGCAAACGCTGCCTGAACTCGGTGAGGAGGGTTTCCGCCAGAGCCATCCTCGTTCGTAGCAGTTTCGAGAAAGACGATTCGGCCACGCCAGTCAGGAACGATGGCCGAAACACCGGATAGGCGGGCAACTACTGTGAGGCAACCACCAAATAATCGTCCCTGAGCCTTTCCAGGTCGTAGCCATTGCCAGTCGGCTGTCTTCACAACCTTTGGTGGTTCTGTCGATTCTGGTGTCGTAAAGAAGGGCGCCCCTCTCGGTGCATAAAACTTAGATCGTGGAATCTGTCCGAGTGGTTCCGAGGATGCAATCGCTCGAAGGAGATTATCGACGCAAAAGGCGAGAGGAGTATCCTTATCATTGACATCATTCGATTCCCCGATCTCAGGAACAGCACCAGGACCATAGAAAGTCCTAAGACCTGTCAAACCATACAAGAACCAATGCAAGCCCGAGATGTCAGAATAGCCGACCACGATCTTGGGGTTTTCACGAATGGTCTCATGAAGCTCTTTATCCGCAATAAGAGCAGGGAGAAGTTCTGTGAAGGTCGTGCCGCCTATGGTAGTGATGATGGCGGAGATACTGGGGTCTGAGAAAGCGGCTCGGATCTCGGAGAGCCGGTTATCAATGCATGACTGAATGCCCTTATCTTCACTAAAGAAAGTCTGAACTTGGTATCCTTTCTTTGTGAGAAGAGCAGAGGCTCGGTCTATAACTGCTGGGAGCATGGCGTTGATTCGCTCTGATGGCGATATGAATGCTATCTTATCACCCGGCTTTAGGTGTTTCGCCCGAATTGGTGAAGGCATGCTGAGTACTGATGATTATTTCTGAGAGTGATTTGTAAATGAAATCAACCTCAGTCGGATATGCGATGGTGATGGTTCGGGTGCTGTTGGTGATCTTTTATCGCGTCAGATCCAGTGAGGGGTCAATCGCGGATTTTAATATCTCCACTGGCGACCCTACTAACGTTATGTTGTAAATTATGTTGTAATATCGAATTTCGCCGGGTCAGCTTACCTAGTTCAATCCAGTCTGAAAACAGGAAAGTGTGTGTAATCATTATATTTCGTGAGGCCTAGAATGCCATGGCGCCCTGCAAACGACAGAGGAGTAACAAAAGTTCCACCATTTTGCCAACAAGTAACCAGCATTCGCCATTCTCGCTCATGCCCGTAAGATGATTATCCTTGTTCGCTCGCTCAATTTGGTTAAATTCAATCCACTAATGAGTTCCGTCGGATATCCGTTCATTCTTGATTATTGACGCCATTGGACATCATTTCGTCGCCCATTATTTGCGTATCAACGATAGGGAATAGAGACATTGTCGTGTCAAAAGAATCGAACCAAAGCATGTTTGGTGAGATACCCAGAAATGCATCTGCTGAAATGTCAACATCAATCTCTGTCTGCTCTCCTCCCTCCATCGAAAATCCTTGTTGCTCGTCGGTCATTTCGTTCGCTACCTGGCCCGGTCTGGGCGTTTGTGGCTGTGTTTGAATCCCATCCGTTGAACCGATTCGGGAGTTACCTTCCAGTTGCTGAGAATTCCGCAATGGCGACTTTCCGATTGTGTGAATACTCCCGAAGAGACCGTTGACGAGGTGACCTTGACGTTCCATTCGTAACCTTGCTCGGTTATCCATGTATATGTCGCATGCGTTTTGTAGGTGATCCAAGATCATAAGATGGCGCTTCGCCACAGCATCATAACGACTGAAGCGGTCGAGAACACCTCTTGCTGCATGAAGACTCTTCTCGAGCGGGAATGAGTTATCGAAATCGCCAAAGATAGCTGCGCCGAGTACAAGACCTGATACGAACGCTGAATTTCCAACAATTGGTAATCGTTTTGGTATGGTTCCAGTCCTGACTAGAGTTTGAAGCAAGTCCACTGTTCTCACAGCTGATTCGAGACATGAGTGTACAAGGACCTGATTCGATGATGAAGATCGCTTTGCAGTTCCTTGTGCGGACTGTTCGTTGTCTTCGACATGTTGAGATACCGCCTTGTGTAGGAATGGAAGAGACAGAAGCATGACCGTCCAGTGACCAGTCAGTTTGAGATGTATTAGTCCAATATTCGGTTGCTCTTCGCCGTTCTGGTCACGGATCAAGTCATCCTGCTCAATACCGTCAACTACGAGACCCTCTCCACATTGTGCAGTCCATCGTCGAAGATGCTTGCTGATGCGTTCCAGTATCTCCGGAGATATCATTCTCTTAGCATAAACATCTGTAAGAATCAACTCGAAGATCATGGACAGATCATTGCAAGCTGAGTAGTTCTGGGGACTTGTCGTGTCTCTCAACTCGGATGTTGAAGGAGGTCGACCCAATGATGCGCTCATGAACAAGTCGAGAATTCGGATGCCTTTCCATAGTTGTTCCCTGGCACGACCCTCTTTGGCAGAGAAGAGGGAAGCTATGTCGTGGCGATGAAGACCAATGGCATATGCTGCCCGAACTCCCATGCCGAGATACATAAATGCGGCGTTGCGGCGTGATGCACCCAAAAGATACATCGCAATAAGCACCAACGCTTGAATGGTGACTATGCCAGGCTCTTCTATCAGTGTTTCCACTGTCAGGTACCGGGCATAGTTGAAGAATGTCTCTGCCAGGTCATCTTTATCTTCTGGCCCTGTTTGTGCACCAATGGCAAAGACCAGATAGTATACCGGACTTGCAGGGTCAGCGATATCTTGGCCATCTTCAAGCCACTTTCGTATGCCATGGTCAAGTTCTGTTTGGTCGAAGAGAAGTAGTACGCAATTGGCTGATTGCATGTACCATTTCACAAGATAATCGACTTCTTGCTCAGACTGTCGTGGCGGTGGGTTCTGGGCACTCGACAGGATCCATCCTCGCCGTGTTTCAGGCGATGCTTCGACAATACCATGTCGCAATGGGTCATCAACAAGGGTACAATCTCCTATGCTACGTCGCACAATCCTCCTAATGTTCTGAAGAAAAGACAGTGTTGCAGAGTCGCCAATGAACATGTATTCACCCCTCGTATCTTGAACAAGGCGCGACATCCGTGGGAGTCTTTCAGGTTGTGTATTCGAGAGCAGCTGCAGAGAAGAAGAGGTCCCGTCATCAACATACGTCTCGTCCACCGACGTCAAACCCGATCTGTTACCGACGGTTATACTACCAGCAGGAGTGGTCTGCTCAGTGATATTGCTGAGTCTATCGGGATCGGGACTTGGTAGCGATGACGCGAGGATGCGTCTTGCGCCATGGTTTGAGGCAGATTGAGACTCGTGGCACTCATGACCGAGACCTCGCTTGATGCAGCGGGCACAGGGTCTACGGCCATCGCATCTTTGTTTACGACGTTTGCAGCTCTCGCACGCCTCGGCGCATCGTCTTCTCTCGCAGTCTCGGACCCTCCTGGTAGGCATTTCGTCGTCGGTAGGTCGTGTGAGGTCCCTGGAACTGAGGGAGTGAACCGCGGGCCGCGAACTGTCGGATATGGCCAGGTCTTTATTGGTTACTTGGCCACGAGAATGGGGTAAGATTTGGTGACATTCCCGCTGACGTAAATCGGCGCACCGTTCACTGTTACCGAATTGCCGATGAAATAATCCCTGTAGCCGACGGTGACATTGAGGGGCCAACACCACTGAATTCCTGCGTAGTCACTACTGAGTCAGTGCTGAGTTGGCCACACAAACAGCAAACAAGTAGCCTAGACCAGTACTGTTACAACAAGAGCAATCTTGAGTGCAATCTCTCGGGTTTAAAGTTAGGAAGAAATACATTTTGATACTGATTAATCCAATTCTTATCCCAAATACTAGCCTATTTTGGATAGGAACTCCTGTATCTTGGAACCAACTTCATCTGCTGCCTCAATACAGTGCCAATGGCCAACTCCAGGTAAAATATGCATGCTCTTCGACGAGTCGCTGCAACCCCAACTAAGGTTGAAGTCAGTGCTGGTTGCTTCAATTAATTGACCTTGCAGTGAAGTCAGTACTTACTCGCTCAGAATCTTTTTCGCATCCGGGATCGGGCTTGTTTTGTCCTCTTCGCCAGAAAGAACAAGCAGGGGGCATTTGATGTTTGCGTAGGGAGGCAAGTCTGCTTGCGCAATCGCGCGACACAAGGCAATGTATCCCGCAGGCTTTTGGGATAGCAAAAGAGCTCGAATGAATGCTTTTTGTGTCAAAGTTGCCTTGGAACCTGTCGCCGCAAAGGGAATAGTCTTGGCCATTGGCTCCATTCCTTCTAAACTCAATATCAATACCAGATCATATTCCCAGTACTCCAAGTTGACTCACCTTTCTTGACTGTCGCGATGCGAGTGTTGAAGATCTCAGCCATTGCAGGCTTTGGCAACACAGGACCAATGAGAACTGAGCCGCGGAGGCTGCACTTCAAAGCGAGCTTTGGTACAATGATACCGCCCATGGAATGTCCAACGGCGACGGCATTATCGGGGCGAATGCTCAATCCTTCCAGTAAAGCCTTGATATCACTCGCTATTGTGTCAAACGTAGGATCTTCAACCCCTTCTGATAACACTGAAAGGCCACTGCCTATTGATCTTTAGTGTGTGATTTCTGCAAGCAAATAACGTAGGTACTGACCATAGACATCCAATGCAATTGACGAGTATCCCGCTGTTGCAAGCTGGTTCATAACAGGCATATAAAATGAATGAGATGACCCGAGGCCATGGATGAAAACCAGTACTGGGCCATCTTTTGAGGCTGTTTCAGTGTCTACTTGCGCGTAGAACAGTTTCTTGTTCTGGACTTCAATGAACGGCATATTGATCAGAGATTAGTTAACAAACAAAATGGCACAGTGATAACGACACGACATAGAGTGTGCTCTGTTTTCGATATACTATCTTCAACTCTCAAGGTTTCTCCCAAATGCCTCAATATGTTTTAGCACGGGTCCTTACCGCTCACATTCAGCGTCGGAAGCCGGGTGAGAAGCCATCGGCAAGGGTCACAGCCGACCTCCACCACTAAAATATGGGGTCTTCACAACAAAGTCAATCACTGATGACACTATCTTTCGCACACTATGGGTCATACACATCCAAAACCCCATAAATCATAGGCAGTTATCACCCAGATATAGTGGGTTATTGCTTAGTCCGAACTGCCGTCGGTTTCCGCCACTCAACGAATCGAGTTTTGTTACTGTATAAAGACTCCCTCTTAACAATCAACCTCTTGTAGTTGCCCTCGGGTGGATGCCTCTTTTTAGCCAATAACCGATAAGTTCTTCCGTCAAAATGGGTAGTATCAACCAACACGATTATTCCTCGGTTGAGGAGAGTAAGAGAATCTTTGACTACCTTTGCGGTCAGTTCGATGAGGTTGCTTTTCCAGCGGCTGTGAAGGAGCTCAAGAACAATATCGAGTTTACATCTACTCGAGATGCGCCCTATTTTCCTATCCCGTTCAAGGAGACGGAGACTACTGCTGCGCTTAAGGCGGTAGAGGGTGCCGTTGCCAGTCTGTTAGCAAAGACAGTTGAGGGTGAATCGCAACCCAAGAAGATCAATGTCGACTTGGAGAAGACTACAGCCTTCCTTTGCCAGGCTTATATGGCCAAGGTTGGTGGTCTCGGAAAGCTTGACCCTGGCGTCAAAGCTCTACTCAAAGGTACGTCTATACGCCACAACTGTTTGCTTCCAGGCCAAGGAACTAACAGCCATAAGATACGGATTTGCTGCAAGCCCAGTCAAATCCTTACCGCCGCATGTCTGCCAACCTGTATGAGACTAAGAACGCTGGAGAGTATTATCACATTCATGGATCTCTGGAGGCTTCAACAACCCTCAAGATGATTGGTCTTGAGCCTTTCAGACCAGATTTGCAAACACATGAGAGTATTGTCGATACTATCGAGCCTGCTGTTCGACAGTTCTCGATAGATGAGCTTGAGAGCATGAATGCTGCCCGTCGACAGGCTGGAGTTCCTGCTTTGAAGCATGAGGACTTTGTGAAAACTCAGCACGTGAGTGTAGACATCTGATATACAAGGATATAACTGACCAGTTATCAGGGCAAGACGAATA